TTGTGAGTATCGAAAAAAATGCAGGTTAATTTGGCGTTTAGGCCAAATCCACACATAATATGTACCTACATATCTGGTTCTGCAAGATACAAGAAACACATTTCCTCCGGTATCCTCCGCTACCGGAGGATTAGTATGGACCTAAATAGTTCCGCGGTCGTATTGCCGGGCACTACAAAGAGTGGAAATGCGTATGTAGTGCTAGCTTAGCCCCGGAAAGCATTACTTACTCGATATTGTTCAACACTACTCTAACGTAGACTCGTATGTGTGACTGCAACACAACTAATCACCGAAATCCTATCATGATTTTGATCCCCACATTGAAGCAAGTATGTAAAATACATGCATCAAAGTGACAGATAACTGGGCTCATTAGAGGTGAGTTTCTTGTTGGAGACCTTTCCCTTACATCACAAAGCATAGCGTGGCGTCATCATAGCGTATATCAGCACATCAGGTAGTGGTTTATCATCATTAAGATCTGGTGCTACGAAGGCTAGAACAATCAGAAGGAAAGCTCGGCTCAAAGGAGCTTACAACCCTCCGGATGTCCAACGCAATCTCCTACCCTCCGGCTTTTAAGGGTAACCTGCCCCCATCTAGCTATTGGACCTCTGATGTGGCAAGCAAAGGTAACTCGGGCTAGATATACTCTGACTTATGGTCGAGTACAACCCGATGTCCGTTGAGGCATAATCTTTCTAGCCGATTAGGCTGTTGCATTCCGTTATTCGGAACTAGACGCACTGAGGGGGTCTCGATCATTTGTTTCAACTCGATTCTATGCCGACATTGCCGGCGCCTTCAACGAGAAATGTGGCCCAAAGGTAAGAGAATAATATATTACCCCTAACTGTTAGAATTTGGCTTTGAAACCTTATTAGAGGTGACTGTGGGTGATATTTGGGTATAATTCTAGTCTAATAGTACTTGTACCCAGGTACTTTGCCTACTTGTCAAAGGGAAGTTGTTAGCCCAGCCCATTCCTTGTTGTGAAAATACTCTCGGATTCCGACCCAGGACCAGCAAACAACTATCAATCAACATGGACAGCGAATGGTTTCGAGGACAAGTCGTCTTCCTTACAGGGGCAACTGGAAATCTTGGCGGCTGTCTCTTATACAAGTTAGCCATGCAACTTCCGATTGCCAAAATATTCGTCCTAGTTAGAGGATCCGTCCAAAAGGCAATCGAATCATGGGAGCAATCGATGCCAGAGCAAGTTGAGGATGTTATCGCCACTTGCAAGATCCAATTCTTCCTCGGTGACATGACCCAGCCTAATCTCGGTCTCTCACCAGACAACCTATCACGCCTACAAAATGAGACCACGGTAGTGATCAATGCTGCTGGTGACATTGCGTTATCTCGAGACCTCGCAGAAACTATACCAGTCAATTGCACTGGTCATCTGACACTGGCCTCTCTTCTAGGCAGTTTCACACAGCTGCAGCGCTTCCTACACATTTCAACTACGTATGTCTCCAGTTTTCTCCCCGACGGCGTTGTCAAAGAGCAAATATACCCTCTATACGAAGACCCCTTTGAGGAACTAGGGAAGATTCTCGTCACAGGGAAATCATCCTATACAAAACAATTCGCGGCTCCCTATTCCTTGGCCAAACATCTGGCAGAATGCTTGCTTCTAAGTGGTGACTACAAATTACCTATCCTCATTGTGCGACCCTGCCTCATATCACCAGCTATTACGGAGCCCTACCCACTCTATGGAAGTGATGGTGCTATACCGGTACACTCCTTCCTCCAGATACTCCTAGGAGACTCGGAGTACGGGCCTTTGAAGCTTGAGCCAAACCTCCCTTCACACGCAGCCTGCAATGAGATCCCAGTTGATCTTGTGGCGAGAACTTGCCTGGCTCATATTGCCCAAGGAACAACGGGTGTAGTCCACGCCAGCGCCGACCTGTATATCTCCCGATCGATTGGAGAATTGCTAAAGCGGATGCGCCACTACGCGCCAGAGGGAGTGGAGGATCAGGTACGAAAGGCCGGTATTGACCACGGAGATGTTACGGCTCCTGAGTTTTACACCATGATCCAACAATTTGCACGGGACTGGAAGATCGAATGTACGCGTTCCGCTCACCTGAAGGAGGTGGCGGGCCCGTTGGGACTTGACCTTGGTGATCATGACCCAGAGATATTCTTTAAGCTTCGTATCGAGCGGCTGGCTAAGACTCTGCTGGAAAAGCTAGAAATGCCAGTGTGGCAAGAAACAAGGTCTATCCCAATATCTCTTGAGAGGTGATGACTACCTGCTCATGGTCAATTGTTAGGGCAAGGACAGTAATAAAGCTGGCTCAATTTCATACTGTTCTATGATTTTGTAAAGGTGGATACATCTGAGAAAGAAAGTAGACAAAAAGGTGCCTTGCCCGGAGCTCCAACACATTCTTTTTTACGTCGTAGAGGAATTGCTTCCGTACTCCATAGTTCCGAAAATGATACATCCCTTTCCACTTAGAATCCCCGGTATGGTTTAAATTCTGTAAACGGTTTGGATAGTGATAAGTGGGGGTATAGTCACATATATCGTGCAATACCGAGCCCTTGATTACTATCGCGACCACAACCGCTCTCGTCAACCGGATGGTATCTATGGAAGTCGCATGACGGGACTTGGGGTGCATCGGCATATCGATGTTGCTGCTTTTCATGGTGTTATGAGTGCGTCGCTTAGGATAGATCAGGAAGTGACCGAGGAGCAGTATTCAAGGATCTCTAGAGAGACATATCCCATGGCTTGCTGATGCTACCCGGAGTTTGTTAGACCTGACAACACTGAGGCAGATTGTAGATGTGGTGCATTTTGAGTGGAACGGCGACGTGGGGGCTGTCAATTATTGCCCTTGATAAACTGAGACTCTCTTAATTATCCAAAGTTAAAGACTGGATATTTTAGCTTGGAGAGTCTAAGTTTATAAAGAAATTAGAAATCTTTTTATAGGTCTGCACCCCGACTCGGATATATATTTGACCACCCGAACATAATACATATCATACGGCCTCCTCTTCAACAAAAACGGAAGAAATTAGAAGAAAGATCTATGTAAAACCCCAAATAAACGGAGCCGAACGTTTCCGTGACTAAGTGGCTTCTCCATCCTGAGCTTTCTAAGGCTGGCATTTTGCTTCGGACATTGCCGAATGTCTCCGCCCATTTTCTTTTTCCTCCTACCCCAGAAATCCCCAGACTTTCTAGGCACCGACCATAAACATTCAACATGGAGGAACCAGTTCCCCCATTACGTCCTGAATCAAGAATGCCAGACACCCTTAACAGCGCCACCCCGCTTATCGAAGAAGAGGCCTTCTTATCGCCGGGAACATTCTCCAGCGCAGACGACTACGCCGCCAACCCCAGATTCCTCGAATTGCAAGAAGAACTCCGCTGCGTACTTTTTTCCGCAGTAGCAAGCCTCGAGCCAGCAAACTACACAACCCCGGCTCCCCTAGAACCAACAGATGGACCTCAGCCCCAACTCCCACGCCAAAGCCTAGACTTCACGCGGGTCATCTCAATCCCAAAAATCAGACTAATCTTTTATCTGAAAAATTGGATTACAGAATGCGCGCCGTACCTCGATAAATTTGACGAGGCGCGCCATTTTGGTGTCCACATTCCAATCCTAGCTCAAGGGTCACCCGCCCTGTTCTACGCAATCCTCGCGTTCTCCGCACGGCAAACAGAGCGAAAAGCCTGCCTGGACAAGGCCTACGACAGTCTGGAGCTGTACCAAGAGTCCATCCGCCTCCTGGCACCATTGCTCCAAGCAAAGGACCCCAACGTGCTCGTGACAGTATGCATCCTCGCCGTGATGGAATTAATGTCCGTTAGTCCGCGCGACTGGCGACGGCATGTCGAGGGCTGCGCCGCGCTCTTCGACTCTTTCAACGTGAACGGACTCTCAGGCGGACATCTGCAAGCCGTGTTCTGGTGTTATGCGCGCATGGAGCTGTGCGGCGCGATCATCTCCAACGGTGTTGAGAGTACAGTCCTCCCACTGGAAAAATGGGTCCCCGCTATGCCGCAAGCTTCTTCGAAGGAGGCGCAGGAGGATATTATCCGCGATTCGTTCTGCGAAAGGGGTCATGTGTCCGCTGATATGCATGCTAATTGGGCGGTTTACCTATGCGCGAAGGCTTGCGACCTCTGTTGCCGTCGAACGCGATTCTTGGAATTGGGTGAGGCGTCTGATGACACGCGCCCTTTCTCAGAACAGTGGAGTCGGCTTTGGGAGGAGCTTCAGTACTGGCTTGAACAACGCCCGCCTTCTATGTTGCCTATTAAGACTACGGGGATGGGTAGCGGACAGACCTTTCCGGAGATTCTGTTTGCACATTGGGCGGCTATTTCTGGGAACCAGTTGTATCATGCTGCGTCTATTATGATGCTTGATATGAGGCCTGTTGAGAGGGGGTCGCCTCCTGCCAAGCCGCATTTTTCGGCTATCTGGCATGCTCGCAGGGTATGTGGGATTTCGTTGACGAATCCTCATAGCGGGAATCTGATTAATGCTATTCAGCCGCTTTACATTGCCGGGAAGTTACTTAGCCATCATAGTGAGCATGTTGAAGTTGCAAAGCTGTTCAAGATTATTGAGCGCACGACTGGATGGGGTGCTTTGTGGCGACTCAAGGATCTCGAGAGAGCTTGGGGGTATGAACCGGGGGAGATTTCGGGTGTGATTTGAGGTCCTGGTTCGAATGATACAGTTCCAATCCTGTTACGGTTCAGTATCTTGCATTTGCTCCGACGTAATTGTGACCCTACGATGTTCGGACCGCAGTTCAACGACCGGCAAACGACATGCGAAAGAGAGGTCACACAAAGATGCAATTGGTGGTATACATTGCAAACGATCTACACAACAATCCGAGGCCCCGCTCGGGGTTTCGGTCAGTTCAAAGTACCTGCAACGCAAAAAAAGATCTGCCCAACGAAACCCAATTGACCGGTCGTACTTGAAATTCGCTCAAGTTTTGGGATACTGCAGAGAATGCATGATGCCGTGCTTGAGCTTCTTAACATCAACTTCAAACACAAAATTCACCTTCCGAATACCCGGGGCGCAAGCACCTTCTGGTATGCATGGACTTTCCCAAGTTGCGGCTGCCATATAAAATATTCACGTGCGGCTGTCAGGTCGATCTCTGAGGCTTCCTTCGTGGTCTATCATGAGATTCATTGATGTATTGAGGCATTGATAGGCAATAAAACCACAACAGAATGACTCAAATCTGACTTGACAGTCAGCCGGCAGATGCAAATCAACATATCCACCTATAATCACGAGGTCCTTGGCAAGTGACGCAAATTACGGATCCATGCGCATGGCAAGCGCGATATCAGTCAATGCCCCAGCGGGGTAGATGGATACCTGCACGGGATACTTGTGGGCCATCTGCACCATTTCGTTCGCTGCCGCAGGCGAGTTCTTCGGTCGGCCTGTCGGGAAGCCTTGCTTCAAAGCTGCCCGAAGTCGGGTCATTGCCCGCGGGTTCCAAAGTTTTATTCTCTGGCACTAATACCCCCTCCCAGGGCAGCTCGGCGTGTATCATGTCCTGTGCCTGGAAACGGTTGTGCGCGTGTTGATCAGCGGCCATGTTGCGCCCGGGTAAACTGGAATGGTGCATATATTTGAGTCTTGGAAAGTCGCGACCGTGTGAAGCGCCGTTTGGAGCTGCCAGCTGTAGACTGTATGTGGGGTTTCATCGGGATTCCGTCATTGCACGTTATCGAGATGATCTATTTAGGTTAATAACATCTCCCAGCGACCAACCCCAGAACTTCACATCGCTAAATAGAGCTATCACCCACGGCATGAATTTAGCCGTAAACCAATCACTGCCCATGATAGCATAGTGTTTATCCGGACGTGGGGTAATCTGTACCGCAAGACCGTTTGTGACGAAAGGGAGCATTAGCTGCATAGCAGATCGACGTGGAGCAATGCTTTGCAGGGCCAAGGAGGAAATGATATTCAGTACGTATATTGTATAGAGCACCTATCTACTCAATTCAATTGTCCGAAACATCTTCACCTGGCTTTGCTACTTGGACAGAGTACCCCAAGAATGAGTGGTCCTAAATACCACCTTGAACACTCAGAACATCCATGGATGTTTTGATGTCAATAACTCAACCTAAGCGAACACCGGTGGCTCTGTTTTCCCCAAACGGAACGGGTCACCCCTCCACACTTAGGTTTTACCCGAGACCAAGTTAGATCCCAAGTCGGGCTAGGCCGTGCAGGGACCGAAAGACAAAATAGGAAACCGATTCAACCCGAAATGTCCACTTCCTTCCCGTCTCCACCGTCGGGGCCATTCTGGGAGATTGGAGGCTACGTACCCCTAAAAGGGTTTAGCGGGCCAGTTTCTCCACCATTTTGCCTCCACAAAACGACGAAATTTGGGGATCCGGGGGATATTAGCCCATGAAAATTCCGAGAAACTGGAGAGGTTCTATGGGGTTTGAGCCTTTTTTTCTTCTTTGCACGTGGTGCCACTCGGACTATGACAGAACTAAACCAATTCCATTCAATGCAATCCAAAAATGGACGTATATATTAAGACCTTCTTCCCCCATGTTCTCAATTCCCCAGATTTCATCTCCTAGTGCTACTTTGGAAATTCCCCTTCTCTAATATTGCCCAACATGACAATTCGATCATCCACCGAGGTGGAATCCACCCCACGCGTTCAACTCGCGAAGAAATCCATGTGGCAGTCAATATTCGACAACCCTAAAGTGCTAGCCATTGCCTTCTTCGCCTCGTAAGAATCCCCTCTCTTCAAATCCACAAACTCAATTCTCACAACTCTCAGATTCGGTGGTTTTGAATATGGCTACCAACAAGGTGTCCTCGGCCAGTCCCTGGTCATGACCCGCTTCACAGAGAACTTCCCAACAGTAGTAGCTTCCTCCACCGCAACAGGCTGGCTAACCTCCGTCCTCCAATTGGGCGGTATCGTCGGCTCCCTGTCAGCCGGTATCCTCGGAGAAGTCTACTCCCGCAAATACACAATGTTCTTCGCCTGCTGCTGGGTCATTCTCGGCAGCTATCTGTACATCGGCGCGACTGCCGGCAACCCGTCCCTGCTGTACGCGGGCCGATTCTTCACCGGCCTTGGCGTCGGCTTGTTCAGTGGTGTGGGGCCTCTGTATAACGCCGAACTGGCAGCACCTGAAATGCGTGGTCTGCTCGTCTCATTTTACCAGTTCGCTACTATTCTCGGAATCATGATTTCGTTCTGGGTTGGATATGGTAGTAACAATATCGGCGGTACGGGAGCAACGCAGTCTGATCTTGCTTGGCGTCTGCCTTCTATCATTCAGGGTATTCCTGCCGTTGCGCTGGCGTGTGGTATTTGGTTTATGCCTTTCTCGCCCCGCTGGCTGGTTAAGCAGGGTCGCGACCAAGAGGCGCAGGATACTATTGCTTGGATGCGGAAGCTCACTGTTGATCATGAGCTTGTGCAGATGGAGTACCTCGAAATTAAGGCTGAGGCTGTGTTTGAGGAGCGGGCGTTTGCTAAGGCGTCGCCTAGACTTGCCGATAAAGAGAAGAAGAGTGTCTTCATGAACCAGATCGCGCAGTATACCAACTGCTTCCGCTCGATGGATAACTTCAAGCGTGTTTGCATTGCATGGTTGGTTATGTTCTTCCAGCAGTGGAGCGGTGTTGATGCGAGTAAGTTGACTTGTTTGAGAGATATTGGGAATGCCTGGCTAACCATTCACCATTAGTTATTTACTACGCCTCCAACGTCTTCCTCAGCCTCGGACTTACTGGGGGAACCATTGCTCTTCTGGCAACCGGTGTGACCGGTGTTGTTTTCCTCATCAGTACCATCCCCGGAATGTTGGTCATTGATAAGTTTGGCCGCAAGCCCATGCTTCTGGGTGGATCAATTGTTATGCTCCTTAGCATGGTCATCGTCGGCGTGATTGTGGCCAAGTTCCAACACGACTGGCCTAGCCATGTAGCAGCCGGCTGGACCGCAGTTGGTGAGTACCATACCTATATCTAAACGTTATGATTCCAATCTCTAACTTATCCGTTCCAGCTTTGATCTGGCTGTATATTGCTGGCTTCGGTGCCACCTGGGGCCCCGTCTCATGGACCCTGGTTTCTGAGATATTCCCGCTTTCCATTCGCGCAAAGGGTGCCTCCATCGGGGCTTTCAGTAACTGGATTAACAACTTTGCTATTGCTTTCTTCGTTCCCCCTATGCTCCAAAACTGGGAATGGGGTACCTATATCTTCTTCGCTGGTTTCCTCGCCTGCGGCATCGTCTGGGTTTGGATCTTCCTACCTGAAACCAAGGGCGCATCTCTGGAAGATATGGACCGTGTTTTCAAGAGTAATGCTGGTGAGCAGGATGCCGAACTTCTCCGTGAAGCGCAGCGCGATGTGGGTTTGACTTCGTTCCTTGAGCGTATGTCGGGCAATGGTGGTGATCTCGAGAAAAATGAGAGGTCGCAGTATATTGAGAACGTTTGAGCGAGTTCTAGAAAATGGGCTGTTGCTCAATATCGCATTTAGTTTATAATTCAACGTTTACGAAGTTAATTCTTGCATGTGTAAATCCGCTTGGATACGGTTTGTCGGACGCTTTGTTTGGCGCACAATGACCCAGCACAGCCATCTAGTTCCAGGTTGGAACCTTCCAGAAGTTGATAAAAGTCCTATAAAACCCCGCCCTTCCCCGTTTATTCTTCCTTTTCCTATTCCTTCTCTCTTCATTCCTACTATCCTCCCCCTCCCCTTGTCCTTTCTTCTCTACTCTCCCCCACCACTGGTCCACAATGACCAACTCGATGGAATGATGAGGTTCACGCAAAGAACCCAAGAAATGAGTGCCTCAGAAATGGGTGCCTCAGAAATGGCTGGAGAGGTTATATATGTTCGTCTTGATGGGAAGGAGGAAACGCGAACCCTACACCTCTAGGGCCGGGACGTTCACCCGGGGTGCTCATTTACGACAATTCCTTGGATCTCCCCAAGTCCAAAACGCCGTCTCCGAGCGCGTGGTAAATCTCATGTCCTTCTCCTATCACAACTTTGGGATGTTTCAACTGTGACGTGCGACTTCCAAGATTGCCGGACAACCAGGGGTAGTCGTGGAGATTTCTGGTGTGTGACATGGACTTTTACGACTCATGGAAGGGTGTAATACCCATACGGATCAAAGGTTGGTACCATGAGAAAGCTGTAAGGGCCGACGAAGAGGGGCTAATCCAACTCATCAAGAAACCATCATATCTGCCGTGGGAGACACATCTCTACGGTGTATTGGAGGCTGAAATATTCTTAAGCACCAATCCGCAGAATGTGCTTGGGCAAACATGAGTCAACAGAGCGACTGAGACGGCCTCGAGCACTTTTCAAAACTTCAATTCTCACGTCTCCCTCAAACAACTTTTGTTTCGGTGACTGACGCAGGGAATCTGGTTGCGGACCCTAGACTTTGTGTCTATTATTTGTCCATCTCCCTGTCTTTGAAATTGTGTAAAAGATTGGAGAGCACGACAAGGATATTGAGCTTCGTCTTTCCACTATATTGTCGAATGAACGCCAGATATATAACCCAAGGCTTTTTCAGCTTGTCTTCGGCTTCCTTTTTGCACTCCCCCGGTATAATTTTACGCCAACATCCATCCAATATATCTGCTGGAGTGCAACTCAATCAGATCTGCGTCACTCAAAACCCCTGCCCTATCCTTTCTCATCTTTCCAATTCTCTTTATCTGGCTTTCCGACCCCAAGCAGCCCGATTTTGCTGGACTGCTCGGCAGTTGCGCCATATCGCTCTTGTTAAAGGATTTCTCCCTGGTGCAACATCGAGTCTGGCCAGGAGTTAGCTGAGAGGTGACTTGTGCAATCCGAGCCATCAAACCGGAACAATAGCTAGGCTGGCTTGAACGGGGCTCATATATGACCGGGAACCTTTGAGTTGTCATTGTGTGGTTTGACAAGAAATCAAACTTCCGATGTCTCCAGCCAACATTCTGGATTGACTCCTCCAACAATTTCAATGCGATTTGTCTTATCTCGTACGGCCAATTTCATGCCTTTGTGCTATTTTCATGAGTACGCCTCTCATCTCAGTTGAGGAAAGCAAGACAATTTCGAATAGAAGGATTGATCACAAGATTGGATTCTACAAACACAATTCATGCTGGTCTACAAATATCGTTGGAGAGTTCCCCCCACAAAGTTCGAAGGCCTGTCCTTCGTAGATTGACTTGGTGCATGACCTGCCTACGAGTCTCGGTTCGTGAGTGGGCAGAGAGCGACCCGGTGTCTTTGCGTCCCTTTTCCGTCTGTTGATACGCCAAGACACATGATGGAAAGAACTGTTGGCGTTGTAACGGTTTGCACAAGCCTTGCGATACGGTACGCCTTCGTCAATGTCGCTGTCATATTTTAATGCCGGTTCATGCTAACAACGCTTAGGTCCCAGAGGGGGTCGAGGGTAACCGATACGAGCTCCTGGCCTGCTTGTCCTGGGCTGAAGAATTCGGGAGTAACTGGGATAGCGGCTTTGGCCCCGAGAACGAGGATACGAGGCGTCCGAGTTCATGCTCTCTGATCGACGGCGTGGCGGCTTGTGTTCGCCACCTGGTCGCGTCCTTTGACAACTTTGTCAAGTCCCACCGTCGCGCCCACTCGCTTCCTGGCCCCCACTTAGCCCAAGTTACCGACATATACGGTTTTCGTGACGATACCGTGCAAATCGGGGATGAGAATGGCCTACAGAGCCATTTTCAACGAGAAGTCGGGTGAATTCTGCGTCATGTCCACTAGTTCCCAGCGCAGAATACCGAGGGACAGGTACATGAATATGGCGGGCCCACTTGGGAGCGTCGCAGTCAGGCTACTGCCATCATGCACAGATTCTGTCACAAATACTCCAAGTCCAATCGAGGGATAGCACATAACCAGTGAATCGCTCACCACGGCTATGGCAGAGCATCTATGGGAGGGACGAATGAATAATAGTCAATCCGCTCTCTGACTATTGCTTTGTGGTCACGAATTTGGGGATAAAGATGCGCATCGCAGTTCAGACTGTCCCACATGTTTTTCTTCAAAACGACTCTTTTAATCCAAGTACGTGGGAGCTCTACGAATCTTCAACTTACGCTTGGATATCGTCCATCTATCAAAGGTCATGCGGAACACCAGGTGCAATCTCTGTATTCTGTGTGGAATTTCGATATCCGGCTTCATGGAAGATCTTGCACCGCAGCGGCTTCAATGGGATAAGGAACCGATATTTTTTCACGGTCGGCTGACTCTAATTATGTCTAACCCGGTACATTATTCCCCAAGAATAACAATTGATGCGAGCCGAATACACTGGATTGCCCGATCATTTGGCGTATAGGAGGCAACAAAGGCGATACTGTTACCACAAAACCTATGGCATGACCTCCTGGGCTTGCATGTGTATTCGGCTTCATATGCAACTACGACGAAACCATATTTCTCAGAGGGGTGCTGGTGGGAAATGGGATATATCGGGAAAAGTGAGACCTCATCAACTACCAAGATTAGCAAAACTTGTATTTGGTCAAGGTGTGGAGAAAATCAATCTAGAATATCAACAAAGTCTCAGCAGTTCCATTTCCTATTTTCAGTAGAAATAGAAACATTTGATCACTACGAATAATAATACCTTTGAACACCAAACCGTTCAAGTCTATACCATATCAATAACCACCCTGCCACAATCGCCCACCGTCGCCTCTTCGGCTCATCCCCATTGGTGCTCGCCCTACACAGCACGGGCGACTGGATATGACCTGGCCGCCCTTTATCACCTTAAAACCTTGAAGCTATATGCCAATTTCAATTTCTCTTTTATTTGTAGGTAAAGTGGATACAATTAGAATGGTTGGCTGTTTATATGGCCTTATAGTGCCTTTTTCTTTTTAGACGTCTTTTGAAATGTCGGTCATATATATACATGAAGGCTGTAAAAAACATTTTTCTTTATATAATATTTGATAATGAGACTCCTAACCTCAGAACCTGAAAACCTTTGTGGAAGTGAGAGGAGATAACTGCGTAAAGTGCTGCCAGGCTCCATGGATCATCCAATGAGAGAATTATGTCCCGGTGGCACACTTAGTCGCCCGTACCACAAGCCCAAATTATCGGCCACCTCCGGTAGTCGAGCACATATCGAGACTACGGAGCCTCCGATCATTCTTTTCTGCAACATCTGGGGTAATGCCGTATCGCATCTCACCATGCCCAGAAAACCCACACCTGCGGCCAAGCAGCGGGTTCGAACTGGTTGCCTGATCTGCCGGAAAAAAAGAAGAAAATGTACGCGTCACGTGGGTTGCTCGTTTTTTTGCGATAGAACTGACGCTTTGACATTGTAGGTGATGAGCAGAAGCCAAGCTGTGCTAACTGCGAGGTTAAAGGCCTCCGGTGTAAATATAGCTCTGATTTGGCGTTTGTCCCGCAGCGCGAGGGAGCTATTTCCAGTGCGTCGAGACAAGGGTATCCCAATATTACAGTGAGTACTTGACAATGGATTTAATTTTTTTTAGTCTACTTGACGATGTGATATGGATGTGAGGTTGATTTTGATCAGTTTGTCGATGACTCGCCCCTTGCAGCAGTAAATAAAGAGAAACCAAAGGCCCCGCAGCAACTTGCAGATGATTCCCAGAGCGATGGAAATACTGGTTTCTCTTTAGACGAATTGCAATGTTCAGCTGATGGCCCAGACGATACCGGGGATGCACGTCGTCCATTTGACTTCCAAAACATACTGTCATCGACAGTCCCCAGTGTTGACTTCTCTGAGTCTCCAATCCGCTATACCAGTGAACAGAGTGCGCCGGGTACTCGATACATGAACAGTGCTCCATATTTTGGATACAGATCTGTCACCAGGAATAGAACAGCCGAAGGACGGGTAGCCCTTGCAAGTGGCAGTCATGAGACTGACTTGCTTCGACATTTCCGTTACCATGTTGGTCCTTGGATCGATACTGGGGACCCTGAGCTCCCATTTGGACTGCAGGTCCTTCTGCTCTCGCGAACTAACAGAGCTCTACAAGCCGCGGTCCTTGCGCTGGCTGCAGGTCAACGGCTTATCGTGGCAACCCCGAATAGCAAGGACCTTGAAAGTAGCCAGCAGTTCCGAAAGGAAGCGGAAGAGAGTCTAGCGCTTGAATATGATCTAGCTAGATATGCTGGCCATACCCTCTTGATGCTTCAAGATGCGCTGCCTGCTGGACCGCAACAGTGGAGAAGCCTATTAGTTGACAGGATAGAGCATATCAGTGACTTTGCGTCACGGGCAGTAGGAGAAGAGGTTGGGGATGCTTTGCTGTGGCTTTACTTTCGACTCGGTAGGGCAAACGCTACTGTTCCCAACAAGTTAGCTAGTAGACTAACAAGGCGCCTTTTGCAGATCTCGCAGGCTCAATATCCTCTTCAAAACCGCCGCTTATGCCCTTTCCATCATTATTACGACGAGATGGCACCTTCTTACACCATCAACAATCCATGCGCCCTCAGACCGTCAATTCCGTGTACAAGCACATACTGTGTCTTTTGGGACACTGCTTAACCATAATACACGGTGATCGAGAAATTCCTTCTCCCCATACAGCCACATCACCAAACCTGACAGCATTACCATCTTTACGACAATCGCACTCCTTATCACAATGGACTTTCCTCTGGTCAGACTGCCAGAAATGGTACAACGAGCGACCAGTAAACGTGCAACAGATCGTGGACATCCGCGGAGGCGAAGCCGATCAAATTGACCCTGACCACGACTCCTCATTTCCTATCCTCATCTACACGACGCCAATGGCGCTGGTCGCCAACGCTGTCTACCATATGATTTCTCTCTTATTGCTTACGCATAAACCGCGACTGTTGAAATCATTGCCCGGACCAAGGTCCGTCACCTCGCATATCTGGCATGCCCAGTCAATCGCCGGGATCGCGGCAAGCAATGACTCCCCCGAACAATGGGATCCAATATTGGTTGCAAGTCTTCTCACTATTGCGAAAGAGATGACACACAAATCCCAACAGGCCGTTCTACTAGAACGTTTTTCCAGGATCACAGCCACAACGGGGATCAAGCTTGACCGAGAAACTAATGCGCTTCAAGCGGCGTGGAACCTGGCGCGATACGAGGAGGAATTTGACGATGAACCTGACTCTATGATTTCATAATATACCCTCAACACCCTTCTATTACTCTTATTTTCCGCCCCATTAATGGCACCGTATTTACATCGTATCATTTCATACCTTCATTCCATGTCATACGCAAAGGGAATGCTCTGCATAGCACCCCGTCGCTGCACACACATAGCAGCAGCAGAGTTCGCCTTCGAAACCGCACCCTCAATCCCATCATCAAACGCCCCAATACTCTGTCCTGTCGCCAAGAAACGCGCCACAGCAGTCGCAAAATACCCAACAAAGGTATCCCCCGCCGCAGTAGTATCAACAACCTTCGCAACCTTAACACCAGCAACAAGCCCACTCCGACCCGACTTCGTCGAGAAATAAACCCCCTTCGCGCCCAGTGTAATAAGAACAATCTCAACGTCCGCCCGCTCATGGAACCGCGGCGCCAATTCCTCAGGCCGTAACCCATCCCCCTCAACAACATCCCCAACAGGAAGACCCTCAATGGACCTCGCCATCTGCACAACCTCCGTCTCGTTCATAATAAGCACCGCGGTGCCACGCAGCGCAGAAAGCGGAATCCCCTCTGGAAACACAGGCGCGGGGTTAAACACCACCTTCGCGCGGTCCTCGACAGAACCATTGAAATACTCCAGCAAACCCAGCGTCGTGCTGCGCGGGATCTCACCCTGCAACACAACGATATCGGGCGTAGACGGGTACCTCTCTAGCGCAGCGAGAATGTTTCCAACATCGCTCAGCAATCCGGCATGGTTTGCGCCTGGGACAACGAGAATCCTATTCTCGCCGCCGATGGCTTCTTCGACAATAATGCTTGCGGACCCTGTCTGCGCAACGGTCGACTGTTCAATGGATTTTGTGTCGACGCCGGATTTCTCGAGTGCTGGTTGGAGGAGGGTTGTGTAGTATGGGTCCTCGGCGCCGACGGCGCCGATCATGTTCACGGAGACATCTTGGGTTGTTTGTGATGTGAAGGAGGAGCGGCCGCAGGCGACGGCTTGGTTTCCGCCTTTCCCGCCTGCGGAGACGGTTAGGGAGGTTGCTGTGAGGGTTTCGCCTGGTCCTGGGCAGCGCGGGGTTGCTGTTACGAAGTCGATGTTTAGGGAGCCGATTATGGTGATTTGGGGTTTTTTGGCGGATGGTGGGGTCGTTGTTGGGGTTGTGTTGGACATTTTCGTCGGTTGTGGTGGTTTGGTGTTTGGTGTTTGGTGTTCGGGGGGTTTAGGAGCTTTAATGTGGGCTTGCGCGGGTGGGATTCAATTGAAGGATGTATGAGGGTTCAATTGTTTCAATATATGTCGCGCCGCGTGACCTTTGTTTTTTTTGCTCGGTCGGGATCTTAAACTTCGGTATGTCATAGCCCCATCTCCCCACGTCCCGAGGTCTGGATTGCCTGATGTGGTAGCCGTAGGCTATGTTTTTCCCGAATAGGCTAGCTCAAGGGTTGATTTCTGGGATGTTAGTAAAGTGTGATCTGATCTTACAATGGCTCTAACTGAACATGTTTGTTACGCGGGATGCTCTACTATGAGATCCCCCATCTGCTCTTTCTCTCTCTTTCTTCTCTAGCTTTGTTATTCTCGTTGAAATGCACCCTTTCTCCATTGACCGACCTGGCACGTAACAACTTTTACTGTTAATTTATCTAGATATATAGTGCTATCTGACAGAAAGTTCGTGGACGAACAATGTATGGTATGAATGACCGATGTTGAGAACCCTCACTAAAAATAACAAAACCCGCTTTCTCAATCAATACCTGGTTTCTACCATATATTCGGACTTGACATTGCACAATCTAGCCTAGCTGAGTGAAATGGATTTCGTTGAGCCTCTCGAAAACGATGTTATGACATCGACGATACTTGCTATTGATCCTCGGCAGTGTTGACAGCTAGAATTGGAATTATGCACAGCTAATTTTGGTCCACTACCATAGTCACCCCTGCCACGGATGATCACTATGTCTTTATGTAGGCCGCGACAAATACATTGACCGCAAACAGATAAGGTATGCCCCGTTCTGGCCCAGTCTATTCGGGGGATTCGAGGGGGAAAGCAATGGTTTTGGAACAGCACTCCAAAGTGGAGAAAAGGGTTAGAAATGGACCAACCACAAAGGCAGCTACACCACAGGGCACCAAGCCAAGAGTCGAGAGACCAGTAGAAACGAACTTTGCTAAAGCTGACACCGATGTGGCCAATCACAGTCTTGTAAGCTTGGATAAATAGCATTGATTAGCTGCGAGATTCTGCGGTGACCCAAGCAAGCGTTCTACGGGCTACAGTTTTGCTCCGCTTAAAGTGAAGAATCGAAGCACGTCGACTTAACTACACCTTATTCTAGCCCACACACTATGGTAGTGGATAGATTTAATATAATCAAAGGCGTTCTGCTCGCTCGGCCGGTCAAGGCATCCAGATTCTGTGGTTGAAGCGCCATGGCTGCATCCTGTACTGCATCTCTATGCGGACAGGACCGCCCGAGTGACGTGGCAGGCAACCCAATAGTATACCAACAGTATCAGACCGGTTTTTTGAAAGCTCATAGTGTGTCTACCTAGAATACATTGTCATAAAATTCCAGGTGTGTTGTAATTGGCAGCCATGTGATCACCAAGCTCTTCTAGGTTGAACCTTCGTATGAAGCATAGATTATGCTTACACTTAGTCTCTGACGAATCCTGTGTCCATTCAGCTTCGCTCAAAGGGTCTTAAGTTTGAAGGGAGGAGGTGTAAGCACTAAATAACTATCTCCTAGCCGCTTAGGTAAAGCCGTCAATCAGCTAGCTGAAAAGACTCTTTAACCCCTTCATGCGCCTTTTCAATGGCTTATCTTATAACACTCAGTTCTCTTAATCTTCCTCATGGCGAGTTTGAAGACATCACCAGCCTCCGCCTCCCGGTCTGCGACTATATATGTAAACTCAGGGGAAACGGACCCCAATGACCCACAATCATCAGCCAAATTGTTTGTGCCAAAGGAGGTGACAAAATACCAGCTCAAGGGCCTCAAAGCTTACTTGAAAGACAACCTTCAGCAATGCTCCACCTCTCTCAGTCGAGTACTCATCATGCAAGTAACCACCAGTCATGATCCTAACTCCAAATATAAGTATTCCTTCTAATACAATTCAGTGCGATATGCGTCGACTCATCGGAGCCGTGGCTCCTCGAGGCTCTCAATTCGTACATGGATGGCCTACCTTTACGCCTGTTTAACTATGTCAATTTCCAAGGCCAGGGCCAAAGTGCAGCTGCAATGCCATATCACGACGATGACGAAATGAGTATGTGTGATGCATACGTTCAGTGCAGCACGAACATTTTACTAAGAAATTGTAGACTTCTCCTTTCTCCTCAACTACCCCTCAACAAATTCCAGTCACGCCAACACGCGAGCGCTAGTTCTGGATTTTGAAGACCAAAACATTAGCTTTCAAGGAGTGGCGGCATTGACGCTCCCATCATCCAGATTGGATGAATCTCGAAGTCCCGATGAGCCCTTGATCATCCTATACATGGCTAACAGCGCCATGCTACCTCTTATTGAAAATCATTGGGGTGGGATAGAAAACTCATGGAGAATGAATCGCCTTCTTCGGTGCCCCCTCTGGTTATACATCGACCTGCTCCAGGCATGCGGCCACTGGTCCGACGTGTGGGGGGTGGCGGCACACGACCTGGCTTGGCGCAACACGCAGGCATACCGAGAGACCTCGAGAAGCTCGACATTGCGACTCACCCGGAGGTTGCACAAAGCTACATCGAACGTCATCACACTACGCGAGAACCTGAGGCTTCACATATCATCCACCGAGCAATTTCGGGAATACGTCGAGAAGAAGCAGTATCAGCCATTTCCGATGCCAGATGATTACCAGACCACGCTGAGCGAAAGAACGGGCGAGTTACTGCAGGATCTTCGTCATCACTGGGCAACTTCAGACGTTATCCTCGAGCAGTTCAAGAGTCTGATGAGCTTGGTACGAATGAACACCAACAGAATCGTTTTCAAAGCTGACGATCGGACAACAGGTCTTCAACACGGAAACGGTGGCACAAGGACAAGCAGTTGCCCGTCTTAATCTGCTCGCTTTCGCCTTCTTGCCTTTGTCTTTTGTAACTGTGAGTATAGTCGACGCGATAATGACACGAGCACTGATCATTCTTTTATAGGGCATATTTGGAATGACAACCTGGACAATATCTGCGATCTGGTACCCTCTCTGGGCGTTTGTTGCCCTCGTTCTTCTCACCATCGCTACATACATAGTGGGCAAAATATTGGTTGAAGACCGAGGAGGGTCATCTTGGTTATCGCGTCTTCATTGGGGTCCTGCACAGAGCCCTAGGGCAGACGTTGAATCGCGATCCGCTCAGAAACCTCTTGAATCGGCAGCTATAGCACCAACTGCGGTTGTTACAGCCAAGATGCGTCCATCAGCAATGGCGCAGACTTCACTTCAGCGAATGGGCAGTTATGGACGTAATCAACGTGGATCGCGGCGGGCGAAAAGACAAACTCAACTTGCTGAACGGGACGCACATGCTATTACTCCTCCCTCTGGTCAGCCCCATCGCTCTCTACGGACTAGTCACCTCCCATCTGTCGACTTAGTATCGTCTGATATGGTAGACGAAAATTCCGGAGGTGAATTCAACACAGACCCGGACGAGACCTCTGCTACCTTTCCTCCTAGTCTTCCTGAAACAACAACCGTATCAGACGCACAACCCGCTGTTGAAATAAATCGCCTCCACTATGACAATGGGGAAGAAGGGTCTGGTGTGAAAAAACATGTGGCATTCCAGGATTATAGAGGACCCAGAGCTCAAGTGGCGGGGAAATCGCACGGAAGACACCAAGAAGGACTGGATCTAGCATACAATCCCAACACTGAGACCGCAGAGATGTACGACACGGAGATACGACCTCCAGTGAAGCAGAGGCAGCGCCGGCGGGAGAAGTCTACACGTCAGCAAGGCACGTTTCAACAGAGTCTCGATATAAGTGTCCACGAGGCTGAAATGCCGCGCCCTCTTGAGATAGTGCCTTCTAAACCAGATCGCACGCATCCACAATCGGTTGACCTGAGCACCAGAGGTGTATTAGAAGATCCAGAAGAGAGAATGAGGCCAGCGGAATTGGTGCAATCGGCATCTAAACGTTATAGCGCATATAGAGTAGGGTTAGCTTTGGTTGGGAATACCCAGAGCGACGCCAAGTGAAGATGTCTACAGTACATTTTGGTGTTTCAGAAGATAGTGCAAGAGAAAAGGACTGCATGGGCATTGAAGCCCAGCATTGCAGGTATTGGGCACATATGATTGTCACAATTCATTGCTCTAAACCGTGCTGGATATAAGAGGTCTTTTCTATGGGGGAATGGGGTAATTAACAATGGATGGATCGACATTGCAGCCTAATTGCATTCCATACTGCGATAAGGCTAAACAGGGACTAGTTTTGAAATTGACCCCATACAGATTAGCATGGTTCTTGTTGGTGCGATAAAATTCATGTGCCTATGAATTTCTCAATACTATCAATATCAAAATACAGCAAGAAGCCAACCGCTGAGAAAAATGCGATCATCGCTGAAGTAGCTGCTTTACATCTTTATAATCTGGCCTACATGCCGGGAGTGTCCCTCTGAGATTTCCCTCCCTTGCAATGACGATGTTTAACACACCATTCGAGGAAGGGATCGATTGAATCCTTGGTCTTGCTTTTTTTCGTAGGAGTGCCAATTTCGCCGAATGAAGGATTCCAGCGGCAAAAAGACTAGCTTTACTTCGGCTTCGGAACACATCAGTAAGTACTCGACTCATATTCATACATGTCCGCTGCTTTAAAGAAGCCAATAGGCTAACATATCGGAAACTAGCTCCTGCTCAATAACTCCCTGACCAGTAACCCAATACTCCAATCCATGCAAAAGCAAACCACTCAGTTCATCTTGACCTGGAACAAATACCGCTGTCGGATCTGCGCAACATCATACACGATGTACTCATTATAGTACAGACCATGACTTTCACTCTGGGTGCTGCCGATAGCCACATCAGGCATCGTCACGCCTTCCAACGCTGGACTCAAACATCCAGCATCCTTCCACCCACCAGGAATATTCGATCCCTTTCCGAGTGTCGCAATCTTGCCCTCGTCGTGCGCTCGCTCGCCAGCGTTGTAGTCGCTGTCTTCAAGCTCTAGCATGGGAGCACCGAGCTCCGCATCGCAGAGGAGAAGTAATCCCATCCCTCGACTGTTGTAGGGACAACAGTAATTTGCGGATTTGCTCGATGTATCGGCTAGATACACACCCTTGCCGAACATGTATCCGTTGACGGGTGCTTCGGGCGGTGCGATGCGAAGACCTTGGCTGAGGATACCACCGAAGTTTGTGCTGCGGGATCCGTGCCAGAGGAGGCGGCGGTCGCCGTTTGGGATGTTGGCGTAGGGGGATGCGTTGAACCGGTCGTTTTCGCCTTGCCGCTCGATGCGGAAGATGTTCACGACCTTGTAGCTCATATTGTGTGTCTGACCGCGAGAGTTCTGGAGGTAGTTCTCGAGTTCGACGAACTCGTTTGATTTGTGGTCCACTAGGCGAGGTCAGTTGTGTGAGATATTCCAGGTTTAGTAATTTAATACTCACGTTCTGTCATCTCTTCCATACCCAGACTCTGGAACTGGCGATCAAGCGGGTGGGTGTCATCGTGATCTTCCTTGGACGATACCATGATTTCATTCGCAACGTCCATGTCAGTTAGTGCCTCTAGCAAATCGATTTCTTTCTTGATCTGCGCGTTCGTGTTCAAGGTAGGGGGCCGATGGCGACCAAAGACGTGGGGAATCAAGGTAAAGTATCGGTTGCTTAATGCCTCTATGGCATTACCATATGGTAGCCCATGTTTTTCTTGTGCCAAGGTTGGTGTAGTCATGAGCTCGGAAATATCTTTCAAAACCAAAAATCCACTTTTCAATGTCCTGTCGCTCAGCTTCCCCAATGGCAGTTTGTGGACATCATAGGACATTGCGGCCAAGGTGTCGAGGACGTTTTGTTTGTTGAAAATGAAAGACATAAGGTTTTGAAGCCCTTTAGATAAAACGCTCTCGGCAGGGGGGTTATCATCCTCTTCCTTGATAGTTTTCTCCTTTTTGACGGGCTCTGCCTCATCGTCATCCTCCTCGTAGTTGCGCTCAAGGAACGTATACTTTCCGTTTTTAGGAGTATCCAGCCGATTCGCCCATTTGAGGCCCGACTTATCTTTGAACTTCTTCTCATATTGCTGCATCGCGGCTGCCAAACCACCGTCCCCAAGACAGGCTGACTGTCCATGCTCCCCAACTCGACCCCAACGTGTCCAGGCAAAGTACTTCGAGTTTGCACCGACCAACAATTGGACGCGATAAAACTTGTTGGCATTGCTGGCAGCCACAGTCTGGCTCAAGGTAGCATCCCAGATGAGGCCTGCGCTGTCAATGTAGACCTTGGGGTCTATCACAAGGGGTGTCAGTTTTTCTCCCACACCTGAGCTCTCGCATTGCAGACTTACCCTTTAGTTTACCCAGTTCCTCGAATCCATCATCAATTGGGACATTAAGGGCCTTAATGGTTGTCTTTTGAATGTCCTTTGTCTTTTTGTTGGAACCTTTCTTCACAGGGTCTTCATCCGCGCCTCGCTTTTTGGTTGCAGGCTTCTTATCCTCGGAGGACTTGGCTTTGCCATTTGTGCCATTCTTCTGTGTGTCGTTTGTTGCTTTGTCGGCATCGTTTTCAGTAGAAGCCGCATTCGCTCCTCGCCTCCTGGTAGTACGCTTGTTGTCTATAGGAGGAGATGCGGTATCATCCGCAGACTTGTCCTGCGTGTCATCGTCTGCCTGGGGCGTCTGATCGGCTTGGCTGAAGGAATACTTTGACTCCGGCAACGGTTTCTTGGCTTTGTCTGATTCAAGGAGCCACAAAAGTGGCACAATATGACAATTGGCGAGCTCGGAAGCTTGTTTGTCTAGTTGATTGGTCAATAAAAGGGTCCCGAGCTTGTACAGTGCCACCTCTAAAGTTTGGAACAATGACTGCTGCTTGCCATCGAACACTGTCTAGACCTGTCATTTCTGAAAACGGGTGTGCCGGGGGCCAAAACATCTCACACATGATTGCTATCATCCTCAACACGGTTTGTCACGGATTTGAGTGTTGAGATAAAATCACATGGACCATTGAGAAAGTGCATAGGGGTTTCAAACTTCCGAGATTGTGTCTGTGGTTCTGCACTCACATTTGGTAGTTTGCTTCTCCACATCCTTCTCAGTGGTCACCAGATGGGTACAATAATCTGTGACCGACGTGCTGAATATCGCTCCATTCTTCTCGATGAGCGCTTTTAAGTCCGCTGTGAGTAGCATAATCGTCAACATACAAGTTGCGGCAGCTATACAAAGTCCGCCTTGGGAATAGGGGCTCATACCTTGTCTCAGATTGGGAAAAGTCCCGCCCACGGTGATGACAAGCTTCTTGAAACTTTGAACTGACATGATGTTGCTCAATTGTAATAAAAAAGAGGACTAGGTATGAGTAGTAGAAAATAGGAAGGTAGAATGTGAAAGTTGAAGAGGGAAGGGTCGAGTGCGAGGTTGTGTACAAGGTAAGAGGGGCTTCCCAGGTGGGAGCAGACAAAATTAAAAATGAGCAAGATGTGATGAAAAGGTATAACGGGGCAGATGAAGAAACAAGTAGCCTTTTAAATAAAAAAAACACATCAGAGGTTGTTACGCAGTTAAGTTGTCTGGCCTGAGGGATGTGGCAGAAATGAGGCTGCTGCCTGGGTTAGCGTCAGGCAGCACAAGGCAGCACACCCTTTTTTGTGGAGAACAGTCGATCTATCCAGGTTGGCTATAGAGATACATGTAACATATATGTAATAACTACATCAAATATAATTATAATGTTAATGCGCTGACTATTGACTCAATTACTCACTATGAAGGCTGCCCAGGAAAAGCAACCTTGGGACTACTTGACAGAAAGCTGGTGTACGAACAATGTAAGGTATAGATGACCAATGTTGACAACTAACGTATTTCCCCGGGCGAGCTGCGCAGTTCGGAACACATAGTAAATGCAATAAATTACAACTTGATATCCTAACAACCACAATTGTGTTTTATTTCATTGTGAGCTGATAGCTTTCGATAAGCATATTTAGTATCATATATTAATTTCGAGCAAATCGAAAACTTGCATTATCACGGTATCGAAAATTATACCGCTAAGTCTAGAAATATATATATCTCAGTCACTAATTTATTAAATTTCCTAAAACTCCCTAAAGGCGCTAGATATAATATAAAGAGTATTGGGCTAAAAGGCAAAGCCACATTAGGCCACTGTTGTTAAGATATCATGTTGTAATTTATCGCTTTTACTATGTGTTCCGGACTACGTAGCTCGCCCGGGAAATACATTAACTAAAATGACAAAACTCGCTATTTCAACAATCTGTGCGGACATTGATGACGAACTGTAATATGCACTTTTGTATGGTATGCCAGGTACCCAAGGTCATATGATGTTTCCGGTTTAATACCTGGTTTCTACCATGTATTCGGACTTGGTATTCGTTCGACATTACCTATTATTAGGCTATAATATTATATCTGCTAAAGTGCTCACAACTATAGAGTATATAAAGATCTATAATTGTTGGAGGTCACGTGACCTCGCCTGCTTGCTCCCAGTACAATTAGTCTCATAGTAGCTAGTGCTCTTCCTTTCCTAATGCAACATGACATTTTCCAGTGCACTACAATTCTCATATTAGTAGTCCTACTAGATCTATCTATCAATAATATAGGATTTAAATTCTTTTATACTCTCCAAAATATCTTGAAATTTACTTGCTAATATCACACACGGGTGCCCATTGCCCGCTTACATAAGGCCCATGGGCAATATCGCAGTCTAATTGCGCTAGGCGAGACATGACCCCTATACAACGTGTCGTACGGAGAAACCGAGGATATTGACAGATCATTAGACCAGATCAATAACGCGCTCCCCGGGCTCATAACCTGTTAGAGTCTACTAGGTAGATGAGATCATGAAAGGCACAATGTAGTATTGTGGGTGGTTGTATGTTGTCCAGATGGATGTAGGAGGAAAGAGAGAGCTAGTCTACTACTATGGGAACATGTGACACCTGAGATTTCAAACAAAGAACCTGCGAGCACTGATATTTCTGGACCCTGAAGGTGCAAAGTTCGACTAAGTATCTTCGGGGGGTTTCTTTCTTTTTTTCCCCTCGTAGAGATTGGCACAATCGACTAAGTTAACAAGAATCGGGAATCAAGAATCAAGAATCGAGAATCGAGAATCGAGAATCAGGGTTCGGGGTTCGGGGTTCGGGTTCTCGCTGCTTACCGCTCGTCCTCGTTACTCGAAAGGGGAAAGGAACAAGCGTGAAACATTATTGCATATTGACATAAAGCTGGTATACGAACAATGTATGGTGTATATGACCAATGTTGACAACTCTAAAATGGCAAAACCGGTTATTTTAACAATCTATACGGATATTGACAACTAACTATAATGTATACTTCTAACTATATAGTATGCCTAGTACCCAATGTTACATGATGTTTCCGGTATAATACCTGGTTTCTACCATGTATTCGAACTTGGTTTCGACACATATCACCATCACTTTAGGCTGTCCGCTTTTAATGTGCGACATTCTAAGCCTTCTTCCCGATTGCGAGTCAGGAGGCCGACTAGTGTAATACGCCTTGACTGGCCCGCCTGATTGCCGGCAATTCCAGGCGGCAGCTAATTTTCACCCGAGGTTGGCAATGTTGATCAATAATCATTAATATTTCACAACGACGCTTGGTATGCCTGGCAGGATGTGGAGGGCTTAGTGGAAATAAACTGACCATATAGGTACATCCCTGGGACGTGAAATAGAGAGTATCAAACTGGATTATTACATGTGCTTCGCTGTTAGAGAAACCATGTTTAAGCTCCCGACTCTCGCACTATGCGCTCTTCTTTGCGCAACGGCCCTCATTTCACCAGCAGCTGTGGATGCAGAGGGATCCTACCTTTGGCAGCGTCCTCGGAGCAACGAAGCCAATTCTTATGCTCAAGCAATTGAACACCAGCATGCTGGTAACCTGAATGGCGGGCTGTTCGCTACTTGGGAACACCACTACACCTTAGGCCCACAGACCAATTGATAGTTCTTTAGTACTTTTGTTTTTACTGGCCACTCAATGGTGCCCCAAAAATGGTTTCCACTGACTCTCACTAACCCTTATCCGCGAGAATACATTACTCGCGGGAATGAACGATTGTCCTTGCCCAACAACCAACCTCCTTCTCCGCCTAACTCTGCTGAAGACCACAACTACCAATTGACAGTTCCTTCGCCCTCTTTCCTGTTTACGCTTTTATTAGTATTCCATTCACCTGGTCTACATATATAGTATGCCTCCTCTTGGCATGGGTGAACTGTTTGCCCTGACTGAATTACTTGTTTAGGTGACATGCAAATAACCAACGTAAACTATACTTCGTAGGTTCAACAGATTGCTTGACTGTTGACCGTTTATCGTGTTTTTTGTTGCGCCACGACCTAACAGATACCGATTGGTTTGGCAAATAACAAAGTCGAAGGGTTTTTATATTCATCACTCAACGGAATTTAAACTCGGTTTCAACATTGAACGACAGACGCCGTTATGGAAAGAAATGCGTGGAGGCTTCCCTTCCGGTTGGATCATATCATTATTGCAGCGCATTGAATAGCCCGTTGCTATCACGTGGCTCGTAGTCAAGAGACAGTGATCCCTATCGGAGGACGTTCAAACTAAAATCCTCTTCCAACCCGTGTGCGAACACATCCATTCCAGCGACCACTCCCCCGCCTGTCCAACATTACCAACAACGATCCACTTCTTGTCCTTTGTCTATTTGAATTTGGGGTATTGTTCAACTACCCAATCATACTCCATATTGTTGACTGTGGCACGCTTCCCATCCAGAACCCCAGTGGCTGCAACAGCTGCAGCCCCAGTGCAGGTGGTAAACAGTAGTTTTCCAGCGGCAACATGACGCTGAATGGACTCGACATACTTCGGTGGAATTTGGAAATGGGTCGGGTTGGGCCCGGCTGTTGTAGTTTAGAGGAATGATTGGTAGTTATTTCAGAGGGAAACATGAGGTTATATATACAACAATGAGCCAAGCTGATTTCCAATCAACTTTATCGTCCGTACAGACTAGACTTCCGCAAAGCCCAACTTTGGGCCCAACCCTTGGGCTCGAAACTCGCAAGTGGGCTTATTTCGAGCCCATTTTATGCAAATATATGCAACCTTTGTATGAAAATTACCTATTTAGGGTAGTTTACGCACAATCGAGGGCTTTTTCTGAAAAAAAACCCCCACGCGGACCCACTTCAATGGGTCGAGACCGAGCTTTGCGGAAGCCTAGTACAGACACCTCGGAGTTAATACCGACGGTGCGGTTTGGTGCACCAGCTTCATATCACGACACCGCCAACCAAGAGACAGTCCAGCTCTGGGCAGCCATCCACGGTGGTGGTATGCACGAGTGATGAAGCACTTGTGAGCGGAGAAACCGGCTCCCTTATTTCTCCAATATGATGGAACACAAAATCGGGCACTCGTGCGAGGGCTTCTTCGAGGTCTGGGCCGAAAAAGCTCACGGCAGTCATAAGTTGTTTTCTAGCTGAATTAAGCAAGCCGCATGGACCTATGACATCAATTGCTTGATCGTCGAATACCAAGCAACCAAAGTGGATGGAGTCATTAAGTGTATGGATTTAACGTATGGGTGCGATGACGAGGAATGGGGATTAGTAAATGCAGAACAGAAAATTGAAAATACAGCTGGAAAGATTGTTGGGGTTTAATACTTGAATTCTTAGTAAACAATGCCTCCCTACCGAGTTTTTGTGCTGTCCTTATCTCTTTCTGGACGCTTGATTGCTTCTGACCCTGAGAATTTTACGAGGTTGCACTTTGGGTAAACCTGCGTTTTCCGATTGGTTGTGACACGCCCGATGCTTAGTGCTCGGAAGCTGGAAGCTTCGCCAGAGCTTTGAAATTGAGAAAATTTACAAGACATCTGCTCCTTCGGAGTTCAGATTGTTATTTAGCTGGAGTGTCCACCCGTCTACTGTGTATCCACATAAACTACATGGGCGTGGAAAATATATCCCACCGATTGAGCGGTCACATTCCAGGATAGCCCCCTCTACCCAGCTGTCTTAATCCATGTGCGGGCCGACCACGCTCCACTATTGAGTCTAAAAGCCTAGGGTGAGAAAGGCTTCTCCGAAATGGGACACATGGACATAACTAAGTATCAAAATGGGAGATGGTATTCTACCGCTTATGGCTGGATAATTCAGAGATTCAATGGCGTATTGTTTTATGTATAGTAGAAAAAGACAGCTCTTAACGAGCTCAACTCCTATTTATTTCGCATCGTCTATAGTAACGAAATCTACGTACTCAATTGGCTATGCCCATACTAGTCCGTACTGTAAAGGAAGCCCGGTTGCCAGAGCCCCACGATCTCAATACCCTGAAGAATAGCGGACAAGTCGAGGACTATTGGGTCCGTAGTCCCAAGACCGACGGCTATGTAACTCGCCGATGGTTACCGACTATTTACGGGACGCAATAGACGGATTTATTTTCGCCCGCCGGTAATCCGCTGACTCAGCGGTATGCAATAATTTTGGTAGTTGACAGAAAGCTGGTGTACGAACAATGTATGGTATAGATGACCAATGTTGGTTACTTTAACTAAAATGACAAAACCCGCTATTTCAACAGTCTATAGTTGCGGATATTGATAACTAACTGTAATATGCACTTTTGTATGGTATGCCTGGTAGCCAATATCACATGATGTTTCCGGTATAGTACCTGGTTTCTACCATGTATTCGGACTTAGTATTCGACAGTAGTATTAAATGAGACAAGGTTTAACGAGCACCAACTAGCACTTATCTCGTTCGGAATTTTCGGCCGTTGCTCGATCCGGTTTCAGGGAGGCGTATGTCTTCCGAGGGTAGTTTCGGTATGGGTGATTCCGGTACCTTGGCCATGTGGAAGACTCCAAATATTCAAAGTCCAAACAATGCGAGGATATATAAAATGCAATGTATAACTTGACTCCTCTTCACCTCGGTAGGAAGTCACAACAACCTTTTCGCCCTCTTTATTTCACCTTTCCCCAATACTTTCCCCCATGATGGCAGAGAAGCAAGGTCATATCAAAGTGATTATTGTGGGGGGTTCAATAGCAGGACTGACACTTGCGCATTGTCTAGAACAGGGAGGAATTGACTTCATTGTCCTGGAGGGTCACCGTGAAATTGCTCCTCAGGTCGGCGCCTCAATTGGTCTCTTACCAAACGGTGCCCGCGTGCTGGATCAACTTGGGATATGGGATAGCATTGAGAGGATAACTGAACCCTTGAAAAGATTCAGGGTCTGGACAGGAGATGGTAAACTTTTGTCAGAAGGAGACGTTCCAGAGCTTATACAAGCACGGTATGATGCAGTTTTGAAACAATGTTAGGTCACTGCTAAATCGATACCTAGGACTGGATACCCAAGCGTATTCCTTGACCGTCAGCTTGTGCTCCAGGTGCTTTCCGACCGCCTCCTAAATCCCTCAAGGGTCCTTCTAAGGAAAAGGGTTGTATCAGTGGACCACTCTGCTGTGGGTGTCACCGTGCATTGCAAAGATGGTTCACAGTACACAGGCGATGTTGTGGTTGGAGCAGACGGAATCCACAGTGTGATCAGAGAAGAAATGTGGCGTTATTGCGAGGGGCGCGATGGCTTGGAAATTGTGGCCAAAGACAAGAGAGGTGCGTGTTGCAGGGTTTTACTCCCAACCCTCTCCTTCCTTCACTTTCGAGCATCTTCAAGGCCTTGGTGTACCTCAGCTGACACCGACCAACCCACCAGCCATAACAGCAACGTTTCGATGCTTATTTGGCATCTCATCTTCCATACTAGGACTAGTCCCTGGGGATGCGCATCGAGTATGGAACGAAGGATGGTCCGCTTTGGTAATCATAGGAAAGGAGGGACGCTGCTTCTGGTTTATATTCGAGAAACTCGATAAGACATACACAGCGGGGAATATCCCAAGGTTTAACAAAGCGGACGAGGCATCATTTGCTAAAACCTACATGGATCGCTGCCTTATCGGCACTTTGGCCTTCAAGGATCTCTGGGAGAGCAGAATCACCTCTTCTCTGCTCGCTCTGGAAGAAGCTCAGCATGAACATTGGACGGTGGGTCGATTTGTTTGTATAGGAGATTCCATCCATAAGATGACCCCGCACTCGTGAGTCCCTGGCACTGCCAAAAGTTGTGTTTTTGTCTGACCGCTATCGCAGAGGGCAGGGTGGGAACAACGCTATTGAAAGTGCAGCTGCTTTAGCCAATAGTATCATTGAAGCCGAGAGATGCGAAGCCAGTGGTATCTCATCACTAAAGGCAATAACTCGCTCTTTGGAGCTATATGAATCGAGTCGTCGATATCGGGCCAACGAAACGTGTGCAATTGCAAGCAAGCTTACGCGCATTGAAGTAATGGAAGGCCTCATGGGCAAGTTTATCTGCAAATATGTGTTGCCACGTCTTGGTGATAAGGTAGCCGATGAGGCCTGTGAAGCCATTGTTGGAGCCACCAAACTGAACTATCTCCCAGTTCCAAGGAGATCACCAAGTGGGATGATGCCATTCGACCCCCACATGGGCCTGGGGCAATCGGAAGATAAACTGTACCGTGCTGCATTTGCTCTCCCCTTTTTAGCAGTTGCATGCTTCGCAGCATTTTGTCCCATTTTACAACCTTCTTCCAGCTTTCCTGGATTGCATTCTTTGAATGGCATAACCAAGGATGGATTGGCAGGTGTCATTTCCCAGTTCGCTGGTACTGACCCAGTCCAAAACTGCTACTTGGCGACTTACCTTGGAGGTCTTACCGCTGTGCAAACCATCTGGGCTGTTGAAAGTGTGCGGCGTGGCAATCGCGGACTATTGTCATTCCTTTCGCCCTTAGTCTTAGGCTGCCTTTCCCAGTCCAAGGGCATCTGCTTTGTTGCACCTTTGTACAGTTTTATCCACTATGTTCAGACTCCGCAGGAGATCTATCATGCTGCGGACAATCGCATGGTACCAATAAGCCACGCCAAAGCAGTCATACCGGCTATTGTTTTTGGTTACATAGCGCCTACCATTGCTCTATTCTTGCCCGTATCTGCTGAAAGGCGTGACATGATCATCTTCGTTTGGCGGTTACACCCTCTGTGGACTACCATAATACACTGCATAGTCAGATCGACTTTCAGGGATACTACGCAGCGTGATAGGATCCGAGCACCCACTACCGATATGCCCCATCTACGCCGCACCTATTTGCTGTTTGCGGTTCTCTCTGGCCTCGCCCATACTTATGCCTGGGTCACATCTCCAGTCCCACTACAGACGTTTCTTGTGAGCAACATGTTATCATTCCCACTTCGCACTGCTATTCAATCCGGTAAATTCGAGCAGTGGCACCAGCTTAATCAAGCCATTGTTTTTGGCTCTGGTCTCCTATTTGGATTGCTTCACTTTCGAGATATGAAAAAGGCAAAGAAGGTACGGGTGGGGTGGATCAAGGTGCTTTGCGTATTTGGTGGAACATTGCTTTTTCTTGGGCCTGGCTCTACATTGGTCTTGGTGTGGGCTTGGAGGGAGGAGATCTTGGCTTCAGCACGCCCAATTTTAGGCTAGCGTTGTCTACAGTATGTGACTGAAAGTTTGCGCGGGTTTGCAGTGATTAGAGTTATAGATTCAATCTGTAGTAGGTCAATCAATCAATCAATCGAAGTTCTATTAACCTGTTGCAGCCTAACTAGTATCGCAATGGCTATGCAGGCGCTTCTTTCTAGTTAAAGCAAGAAGTCGTGCCCCGTACGCCTGATCCTGGCCCAGTAGAAAAGTGAGGCTGGTTCTAAAAGAGTAAAAGCACGAGCCTATTACATGTGGCCCAAACCCATGATCCCGTAGAACCCGTACTACAAATGAGATATTCAATGCTAGAGAGCAACGAATACAAAAAGAATGCGTGGATGCACTGTTAGAGTCTACAGAGTAGATGAGATCATGGAGCAGCACAATGTAATGTATTGTGGATAGTTGTATGTTGTACAGGATGATGTAGGACGAAAAAGAGAGCTAGTCTACTACTATGGGAACATGTGACACTTGAGAGTTCAAACATCCTCTTCTCACACTTCATGTAGACGTCCCCGTATCAGTAACCCTGCCAAGTAAGTACTAGGCAGGATGGAACCCCCTTTCCCGAGCTTCTCACTTCAACCTCAATTGCTGTCCATTGCTGTTCACTGCCTAGACAGAGAGCGTGTATTCGAATAGCTGAGCGAAGCTCTTTCCTTAAACGTAGTAGCAAGCATTAGGTAGCACCCAGCGTCTTTGGGACCTTGCTCCCTGATCTCAGGGTCTTCAGTTTCAATATCGGACTCTCCTTGCTCAGCATATTGGAACTGAGCAAGCAGCCCGGCTTGGTATATGAATTTAGCAACGTAGCGGGTTGCCAGCGGGTCTGATACTATAGTATCATAATCGGACAGTTCTCTCACTCCAGCCTTGTGCAACTAGTCAAAAAGCCTCTTTCTTATTTCGCTCAAAGTCTCGCATTGAAGCAAGAAATGCTTCGGGGTTTGAGACCCCTCTCTGCAGGGGCATCTGCCAGAACCCACCGCATTGATCTTGTACAAGAAGTGCTTTAATACAATTCGCATTGATCGCATTTGTATCATGACCGATGATCGCGGTTTCAAAAGACATTCGTATAAACACAGGGTCTTCTTTTTCGGCCATTCTACTAAGCGCTTTGTGGGCTGAGAAGTCCTCTCATTCTCCCATTGTTTCTTCCAACGGTCCTGGATACGCCCTCGGACTATCCGTTTCGGAGGATGGTCGGTTTATCCGTTCTGGTCCCGCCGCCGTTCGCACTTCCCGCACAGTTACAGTACGCGCTACTATCGGCAGCTTCATTGCCAGGCACCCCGACGTGAGCGGGGATCCAGCGGAGGTGGTAGATGTTGAATATCGCGATCGAAGGGTCCGCACGTGCGCGTATATAAGCCCGAGCACGTACTGACCGGGTGGTCGTTGTGGGTTTTGCACTACCTGGATGGCGGCCTGGCTGTCTGAGAAAAGTACCCCTTCTCGAGCCTTTGTGGGTTCTCCTTGTTATGTTTGATTGTCGAATACCAAGTCCGGATACATGGTAGAAACCAGGTATTATACCGGAAACCTCATGTGATATTGGGTACCAGGCATACCATACAAAAGTGCATATAACAGTTAGTCATCGATGTCCGCACAGATTGTTAAAATAGCTGGTTTTGTCATTTTATTTAGTTAGAGTTGTCAACATTGGTCATCTATACCATTCATTGTTCGTACACCAGCTTTCTGTCACATGATACAGGACTCAGTTTTGTCCTTCGGCATCGAAACTCCACTGAACTATGTACTTTTCATCACAAATCCATAACTACTCGGCCCATTGTATGGCCGGCCATTTCTGTGGATATGAGGCTGATCATAGAAGTACTGTATGGAAATTGAGTGCCGAGGTGTACTTAAGCGAACAGTATCTTGCCGTACCAACTAGCGAGGACAGTGTGACTTCCATCTAGTCCTAGATCTCTCTTGGTATAAAATATTACCGTATTAATACTTCCTTCATGGTTATATTGTGGTGGATCCTGCTTCGGACGCACCTGTGAACCTTGTGCTGTGAGCGCGGACTTTCCGCTTTGGGGCATGGGCACCGCTCCGGTGGCGTACTTCTTCCCGCCCCCGACACGGAAGAGCCCGCAACAACCTGCCAGCGAGATGAATGAGACATGAGAATCATTCACAATGGAGCTGACTTTCTTAGTTAGTCGAGATGGAACAAATGTCAAAAGGGGACATGCACGGCGTGCGTGTAACTCGTGTCGTCACAAAAAGGTATCGCATTCTCTCCCAGATGGCTAAGCCCTATAAGAACTGGAATTGTATGCTGATTTCGCCAGAAACGCTGTTATCACAACATCTCCAAAGAGCAATTAGCTGATGGGTCTTCTTCACCCAACATCTCTGGCCTCACAAGTAGCGAAAGTCCTGCATCTCAGGTTTCAAGACGGGATGCAGCATTCCGAGATAGATCTGCATCCCCAAGGCGTGAGCGGCCAAATGGGTCTTCGCTTCAGGATGTGGTGCAACAAGGGGTCAAATTCATTGCCGCTGATGCAGGTCCAGCTGCAGAGGTCGATCAAGAATCTCGTCGTTTTGCGTGTGACTCACACCCTGTGGCGAGTCTCATGGAACAGAACGAGTCAAGGTTGAAAGAGGGTCGATCCCATAAAGGGGACGTTGGTGCATGGTTGGGTGCCGAGGAGAGTTCCATTGACCAGAGCGGAACCCCTCACTCTTCACAGACGGCACTAGGGACCCATGTTCACCCCGACGGGCTGCCCCCGAAAGACTGCGAAGAGGCCTTGGTAGACATCTATTTTCGTCGGATACACCCATTACTTCCTCTTTTTGACGAAGACAGTGTGCGAAACCAGCATAGAGACGGTAAACTTCCTCTACGGCTTGTGCAAGTAATTTGTCTTATTGCAGCGAAGGACCAGGGCGCGATGCCTTTCCTATGCCTGGGTCCCAATTCAAACCCCCTTCCACTGGAGAAATTCAGCAACATCCTCTACACTGATGCCATGCAAAACATCTCGAGAAGAGCAGAGAAGAAAGAACTTGCAATACAAATTTTGGCCCTTCTCTCACTACACGAATGGGGCTCCACTGGATCCGAAGATTGTTCTTTGAATCTAGCCCAGGCTATTCACAATGCCCAGACCATGGGGTTGCATTTGCTGAGGCCAGATCAACGCTCTGGTACATCTTCCAGGGGTCTCTTCTGGAGTTTATGGAGTCTAGACCGATGGAACGCTGCTATGAATGGGAGACCTCTGATGATACACGACGGAGACTTGAGCCAGGGGGTGGACGACGTTGTTTCAACGTTTCAATCGCCGTTTCGTGTCTGGCTTCGAATTGCCGATAAGCTCGGGGCAGTGATTCACTTCTACCGACCGATCATGAAAGGCGTGGATCAGAGTGAACTCGATCTTCCCTCCTTTGAGGACATTGTGGAGGACTGTGAGGCTTGGGGCATGTCCCCAGACCTGCTTGGTATGAAACGTTCCGTTCTCCAGTTGCAACATTGTCTAACCCCCCGACCGACAGAGTCCCTCGAGCTTGTTTATCATTCGGTGATTATTCTGTCAACACATTCTAGCGGATTGCAAGGCCGATCACAGCCACAAGCATCAAAAATTCGACAAAGTCATTCCATCCTTACAATTGCGTCTCTCAGTTGCAACCAGAATATTCGGGATTTTCTGCCGCTTCCCATGATCGGTTACACCATCTCGCTCGTATTCTCGGTCACGTATAAACAGCTGAGAGAAAGCAAACTACCAAGTGCGCGCGACACAGCCATTTCCCAAATTCGTCTATTTCACCGATGTCTCAAGAAAATGCGCACCACATGGTGGTCAGCTGCTGTAATGACTCGTCTAGGCCAGCGTGTGTTGAACAATATCCAATCTACCATAGACCAGGAACGTTCCACAGATCCAGAAATCAATATCACCCGACTAAACTCTCAGCAAGGATCGAGCCATGTATCTTCACAGCCAGTTATTTCCACTGATAATATGCAGTCGCACTCGGCTATCGATATTCCGCACGTGGCAATACGGATTAATGCAGATCATCAGAGTACACACCCTCTGACTGATGATCTATTAGGGTCAGATAAGCCTTCGAATTTTGAAGTAGACGGCACCCCATTCTTAACAGCAGCTGAAATTGAGGATTTCGATACCTTTTTTGGCAATTTCCTTGATGTCGGTTTTCCAAACTCCGCGAATGATCAATTGTTACTAGATCTGGACATGTCCGACTTCGAATTTGTTCATCCCGATCTGGCTTGATGGAGATTGCACAGAAATGAAATGTCCTTGAACAAATATACGCCTGATCACATAATGTATCATTTCTATGCATCGAAGTCTATTTACTGTAATAAGTCCAAAAGTATAATAAGTTTCTTTCCCCCTTCCAATTCCACCACAGTAGTAGTAGAATTCATGTACCTGACCGCTCGCGAGTTGGAACTCTGAATTGAGGTCTCTACTTCTTCTTCGGCGGTGCAACATTGAACTGGAAGTGTATAATGTCGCCATCTTGTACGACATAAGACTTACCCTCCTGTCTGTACTTTCCGGCTGACTTGATCGGGCCCATCGATTTCTCGCCATTGCAGAGGTTATGGAAGTCCTGGTACGCCACAACTTCAGCCTTGATGAAACCGCGCTCAAAGTCGCCGTGAATGACACCAGCTGCCTGTGGAGCCAATGCTCCCTGCTTGATCGGCCAGCAGCGGATCTCTTTCTCACCGGCAGTAAAGTAATACTGCAGTCCCAGCTTGGTGAATCCTGTCATGACTGTTAGTATGGGGTACGGCAAGTGAGGCGAATATTGGGGACATACCTTCGGTGGTTATCTTTCCCAGTCGGCTCTGGACCTTAATGTCGGCCATGAAGGCATCCAGCGCTGGCTTGTCGTCTCGCAAAGACCACAGCTTCTCCTCAAACTCGACGGAGAAGGGGATGATATCTGAGCCTTGGCCGCCGTGGGCCTTGACCCACTCTGCGATCTTGGGTAGGTATTTGCATTTTTGGCGGAGGTAGTCCTTCATTGTAAGGTTGATGAGGTAGATTACTGGCTTGGTGGTGATGAGGCGAAGCTTGATAGTGTCAGCATTGTCTCTTGGGTATTCAAGAATTCTAGACAAACCTTCTCGTTGATCAACTCGATTTCGGGAGTCGTCCACTCTCCATCTCTAACAGGCTTATCCTGTTCCAGGAGCTATGAGGAAGTCAGTAAACTACATATCTCTTCCAAGAGAGAACGTGACATACCGCCTTGATCTTAGCGGTTGTCTCGTCGAACAGCGGCAGCATCTTGAATTTTCCTCCAGCCTTCCGCACAATTGCCTCTTCAGCAACCTTAGCTTTGGCAAGAATATCCAAATCTTTCTTACATAGCTCGCTCTGGATTGTATCTGCACCATAGCACCATTAGCATCTATTTCTCCTGCGTCCTCCGAGGGAATACTTACCCAAGTCGCGAACAGGATCAACAGAGTCATCCACATGAAGAACCTCGTCGTTATCAAACGCCCTGACAACGTGGTACATGCCATCCACAGCCTGAATATGACTCAAGAAGGCATTTCCCAAACCGGCACCCTCACTCGCTCCCTTGATCAATCCCGCGATGTCGGTAACCTGCAAATACGCCGGGTATTTGCTAGGTGGATTCCAGACCTTGCACAGGAAGTCCTATCTCACATTATTAGCTAGAGCCTCCTATTATATTTACATGACCCAAAAGGGAAAAACCCAGCAGGGCTAAAATCCGTCACGTGGAAATTACCCACACAAGAATTCGAAAAGGGAAAGAACTTACATATCTGGGATCAGGAACCACGCAGCGCGCTTCATTGGGCTCGATGGTGCAAAATGGGTAATTTTCTGCCGCAGCGCTCTGCTCCGTCATCAGGTTGAACAGCGAACTCTTTCCCACGTTCGGTAGGCCAACACAACCCATCTTGAGGTTAGACTTGACGCGCCCGAAGGCGACGACATTGTTTGTCGGCGCTTCAACTGCTTTCTTTGGTGGCATATTGGAGTATATTTAGCCCTGTATGGAGGTGTTGTTTTTCTACGGTTACGAAAGGCCAGTGTGCGTTGCCGCTTTGAATTTTTTATCAATTCTTGCCCCCGGTTGTATATTGTTTCATTGGTCGGTTTTTACTCTATCCACCTTGGAATAACCCGACGGTGACTCTGCAAATATGGGCCCACTGATTTAACTGTCGGAAAAAGATCGGTGTTGCATTTAACCTGTAAGTATCTTAAGTTATACCCAATTAACTGTAGAATTTCTACAACCAAGACCAATTACTTGTATATCAAGTTCACCCAAGTCTGGCTAAAAATATTCTTTGCAATTATCACATGGATACTTTGGTAGTTGGAAAGCACCTTTTATTTCTAGAGGATGTTGAAAATATTGTATCCCAGTACTGATCAAATAATTTAGGCCTTTTAGCAAAGGCGATGATCAACTTCACAGCACAAAAGTCCACGCAAAACAAGCTAGCCAAATTCGTTGGGACATGGTATAGCGTGAGTTAATTTGTATTTCCGAATATGCTCTCCGAAATGTTACCAAGCTTTTCGGGATGAGGAAAAGTAGCACTAGTAATATGATAAATTGTATACATGTACTTCGAGAAGTAGCAGTCATATGATCGTGGGAGGATATGAGGATATGATGCTCCATCATAGATCAAGGAATGCCCCTATCAAAGTCGCCAGAAATCTCCGAGGACTGACCTTGAAAACCTTGCGCAACTTATTGTAACATATGTTAGAACGACATCATAAGAATGTTGGTATTCCTTCCGTGGCGAAGAGCTGCGCTTGTAAGGTTTGAGACCCTGTAATTATCTCCCCGACCCCGTTTAGGAATGTCCGCTCCATCGCGCGGACACAAGTATAAAGACAGATAATGTGCCATGATTCCCCCATTATAGATTCGCCAGCTCACATTCAATTCAATTCTTATTCTAATTTCTAATTTATCAAGCTAGATATTGCTTGGATCTTCGACTATGTTCCGCAACCACATCACCCGCTCTGAGTTGAGGTATGATTGTTCCTCCCAAGATTTTCCATAATAACCTAACTGATGTTCCATTAGTCTTGATCAAGCATGCATTTTTATTTCAGAAGATCGGCATCCAGCTTTTGTTACGGGGAGTCTCAATCTCACTCTTGCACACGTCGTCTCCGTCAAGAGTATCAAAGTGAGACTAAGGGGAATATTTGCAATGTGAGGACCCCTACAGTGTAGTGCGTTATTGACTATATTCTTACTTCTATTTATAGTCCCATTGAAGGAATCATGGGATCAGAGAATCGTAAACAGATCACATTCGAGCAAGAACAACCACTAGCTTCTTCGAAAACACTCAACGCATTCCAAATGCCGGCGGGAGACCATGCTTTTTTATTCGATATTCCCCTCCCAAGTAAAGTCTTCAACACAGCGACTGGTGCAAACCATCAATATCACACATATCGCGTAGAGGCTATCATCGAGCGACGCCTCAAAAGTGATTTCGTGGTCTCGCAACCAGTTAGGATTTACCAGGTTTCCGATTTGGAGACAAGTTATTTAAGACCGCACTGCCCACTGGTTAGTACTTTTCATGAGAGAAGTTTTAGCACATGCAAATGACTGAACATATCTAGACTCTCGAGGGTCGCTCTGACCAAAATGTTCAATATTGCCTCTCCATCACTGACCGGAATGTTCCCTTTGGTTGCACATTCCCTGTGGAATGCTGGTTTGCACCCCTAATGAAATACGCCAAGCTCAACACCGTTACGATCGAAGTTATTGAAAAGCAAACTGCGCGGTTGGACGCTACTGCTGCAGAATCAGCGCAACACAACATGCGGTTTATCACTGCAGCACAAAGTCAAACTGTTTTCTCCAAGGCCATCGATTTCTCTCGAGATGAGTCTCCGGCGGATGACGACTTTGAGATTGAATGGCGCTTTACCACGCCCGTCTCCCTGCCTCAGAGTCTCGATGCTTGCTCGCAGACTATCTCGACCAAACACCTCAAGATCACTCATGACATTTCTATCACTGCTGAGTTCTGTGATGACTCGGGCGATGTTACAGCTGTGGTATGCAAATGACCCCTCGAGCTTCTATAACATGCAGCTGACGGAATCTAGATCACGGAAGTTATGCCATTCAAAATTTATATGACACCAAATGTGATTGGAGTTGATGCATCCATTCATGGGCAAGATATCCAAATCATACAGGGAAGCCAAAGTCCTCCTCCGGCTTACAGCGATTGCTTTTCCGACTTGATCGTGTCGGCAGCTACTCAACTAAATTTCTGTGAGGATCCGATGCTAGCGGAGATCAATTCTGTGCGTTCGTCAAGTGAACAAAGTGCGAGTATTCACACCATGGAGCCGGCTCCCCGATACGAACAGGTCGTATAGTCCGTTTGAGTTTGGACTCTTCTTTTATCTGCTGCTTTTGTATTCTAGCATTGATATTGGAGGATTTTCAATGATTTTCGGAATAATGTTGGAGCCTTGATGGCTTCATTTTCGCGAATTCCTTCTCATTCTATCTGTTTAATACTATATTCACATTAATCCATGTCGAATCTCCAGTCTCATTGTATCTTGTAGACCAATCCCTCTTCAGGCCGTACTTGCCCACGACACAGTCTCTCCCACCCTCCCTCGACACCATCTGCACCAGAGACACCGCTGCCAAACACAATCTTCGCCCCCGGTTCACTCAGGTGTCGCTCATCCAACCATTTCTCCCACTGTGCGCCTCTTATTGTGAAGTAGGCTTCTGGTCCAACAGTCTCGAGTATCGTGTCTTGAACACCAGAAGTGTTATATTGAACCTTTCCAAGCTCCGCCATCGCTGCCTGCCCAGCAATAATCTCCTCTGTCGAGTATACCTTTTGCTCATTGCCAACCTGGACAATGGCAACCTTGCAAGATTGCAACTCAGCATGATTCTTGATCAGAGAAAGTGTATCTCTGAGAGAATTCGCACGACCACCGAAGTCAACAATAACAATCTTCGAAGGCCTGCGGCTAGCCAGCCACTCCGCAGACTCGTTAGAATCAAGATCCCCATATGCAACCACCTTCGAAGGAACAGTAGTAGGCAGATTCCGACTCGCCTCCTCGATGCGTGACACAGCCGATGTAACCTGCAACAAGCCAAGGGGTGCCGAACTATCCGGCTTTCGCGACAGGTAGTACGAGAAAACACGGGCCGTTTTAGTCGACGCGGCCAGGTTCACCACGACCGCGGATGACACCTCCCCGTCGGACAGGGTCCATTGCAACCCAGCTTGGTTTCCCAGCGGATGGATGGGGGGTTGGGTTGGGTTGGACGAGAAAACATATTCGCTGAGAACGAACCCTGCTACCCCGCCAATGAACAGCGTGGTCCAGGCCATGCGGTCTAACTCATCCCGAGCAGAATCTGAAAGGGGATTGAGCGTCGTGGTCAGCTCGGAGATTGGGGTCGTGGTCGCAGTTGCCGTGTAGCGGTTGTACAGTGGCATTAGTTGTTGGCGATGGTCGCTGGTCTCGATCCAGTGGCCTTCTGGAGAGCCACGTTTGAGTCTGAGATCGGTTGGTGTGCTGATAGTGGGCCAGAATCCGTATAGGAGGGTTCCTTTGGGCAATTCTGGAATAGTTGTCTCTTCCACTGTTGCATAGCCCCAGGCTGGAACTATTCCCCAGACTGATGGGTCGTTGTATGGTGCGGGATAGTCTTCAGATACGGGGTATGCGTCCCACCTGCCAGTAATTGATGAGAATCCCATTTCAGGTTGTTTTACGACAGTCTTCTCTAGTGTGGGTAGATGTTGGGAACATACCAATGCAAGAATCCCCCCATGCGGGCATAGGTCAAGTTGTTCGAAGTGAGGCTGATCAATTGCGTGCGAATTCTTACGGAAGAGTCCGATAGTTCCCGCTGAGCAGCGGCTTCAAGGTTGAAGCTCACATGCTGGCGGTTATCCAACTTTGAAACTACGTGAACACCCATGGCTGATGAATTCGGTGGGGAGACAACCGATCAGAATGATCCAAAGTTGTTTCTATTAACCTACTTGATTACTGATCACGGGCACGAAGATCATCCGGCGGGGAAACCCTGCCGGCTGAGAAACACTGCCAGGGTCAGGATGATGATGCACCTTCCCACATAACACTCTATTCTTTGGATTATATTGAAATTGAAATTGCCTTGGTGGTTGATATCCTGACTTGTTATTCATATTCATCCGCTGCTACCAGCTCAATGTAAACCCCATCCGTCAGATCTTGAACAGACTGGGCGTCAGTATACCACAAGGTTAGCAAGCTCGTATAGTTATTTTACAACCATTTAATAATGATTTTTGTTAGTCATAATTTACAAGCGCTCTAGGCTAGGCTTTGTTATACCTTATGACAGGTAGCACTTTCAGTTATGACTTTTAATCTGGCAGTCATTGGGAACTCTTGCTAATGATGACTCTCTTCATATAAAGTAGAAAAATAAAAAACCAGTTTCTATACAACTATGTTTCCTCTCATGAGGTTTCGTTTGTATACTCTTAGACGGTGTAATTCTGCCGAAAAGTGAGGTTATATTGAATTGAACGTATAGATATTTCGCCTTTCGGGGCATATGGTCAAATGAAAATATATAGAGAAGATTAGCATGGCCCCCTGCACTAAGGATGACACGCTCAATCAAAGAGAAGCTACCCATTTTTTTTCCTATTCACGCAAGCACGATTAAGGTAGTAGAGTATGGACATTTTTCTACTATGTATTTGATTGGTCCTACACCCACGCTTTAGATCCATTATATCTTTCCCATTCTCCCATTTCTTAAAACTGACCTTCATTTTCATATATTTTCGAAGGTTTTGATTCAGTGTACCAATGCAAAGATTTGTAATTTTAGTTGTGAACCTCTTTCATCCTCTATTTTCTTCTGTATTTTGCAACTCGTCGTTCTTGTCTAGCTCTAACAGAAATGGGGGTGAAACCATCTAAAGGACTATTTAAGAAGACTACTGCAAAGACTACCAAAAAGATTCGTAAATAATATTTAAGAAACAGTACAAACAGAGAGCAACTTTCCATCCTAGAGTACCCCGGACAGTTTCCCTATGCGGTCACAATGTGGAGTGATATGCACCACAATCCACGGAACCCCGCCCCCGGGTTCTTGTACGGACAGCCTTAAGGGGAAGGGGCCTTTCAGCACCTACTTTATCATCGCTCTCGGTGATGATACTTGCTTACTCCCGACTTGCGTTAACTGCCGCTGCGATAATAGGCAACATCGAAGTGTAGCCTCCAAGACTACACCCCGCGAGTGACATCCAGAGCGTGATAAAACCGACGCCATTCGCCGCGAGGATTTCCTAGGACGAAGGCGGGATTAGAGATGGGAAATACCCGGACGGAATGGAGTAGCAATATGGTCACTTGCGAGTCACTGAGTAGGGTATGAGCAATGTAAAGTGACCTCAATGAAAAACCTAGCATAAATTCATGTCCATCTTTAACCTACGTCGACAAAAGATATAAATAACTAAATATATGCAAGAAAAGCCATGGGCAAAAGCGAAAGAAGATAGCTCAACCCTTGGAATCCATAAGGTATTCCCAGAATACGATAAATGTATACAGATATTCTCAATAGAATAATAGATTGTCAGAATAAGAATAAGATTTTACAACGCCGGAGAACAAACAAATCCCGGAAACCAGCGCAGATAGACTCACGTATTCATTCGAAGATGAATGCGAGCGTCAAGGAATGTAGATGGAAACCACCATGTAGATAGATGAAAATTCAGGATAGATACGGAAAGGAGAGTGGTATAAACGGACTCGAGATATCAGATCTCAGCTCGATACTCGAGAACGGCGAAAGTTTCAATGATGCGCATGTGAATTGAAGATTCAGATTCAGATTTGGGTTCAAATCGCTCGTAAAATGACGGGTTTCATGCTCGCGCTTTGATTGCGCGGGTGTTATGCAAAGATTGGGATGGGGATTATGTATGTATTGTCGTAGACTGTGCTCGTGAGGTGGGGTTGAGATGCTTGGAAGTGTGCGGTTTAGACTGTTGGAACAGATCGGGTCATAAATGAGTTTGGGTTGCGAATTAAATTAGAAAATGACGAATCGTTTCTGTTTGGCAGGCTTTTCGATTTCGGCTTCTAGATATTTCATATCGTTAGCAAAATATGCACGGATATAAACCTGGTTTGGTTCACTCACCCTGGCCATTACTTGGGTTCTTATCCTTGCGCTCTGCTTTCTTGAGTCGGCCTCCGTTGCGTGTCGCTCCATTGCGACCAGTCACGGCTGGATGTGACCCTTCTGCCGCAGCTCGGATTGTAGCGATGCGATGCTTAGCTCGTTCATCGCCCTGGTCAGCCGCCTTGACATACCACACATTCGACTCGAGAGGATCACGACGACAGCCAATGCCCATTTCAGTAAAGTAGCCGACAGCATACTGAGCCTTCGCGAGACCGAGATTCGCAGCCCGGAGAGCCCACTCATACGCCTCGTTCTCATCCTTCTCGAGTACAGGCTCCGCACCAACGAGATACCACGCGCACAGCGCCATCATCGCGAGCGGGTGCCCGTTCTGCGCGGCACTGGTGTAGAAATGGATACTGAGCGCCGGGTCGCGCGGACAATTCAATTTCCCATGCTCGTACGCATCGCCGAGACGATAGCAAGCCTCCACATGGCCCAGCTCCGCGGATTTAGTAAATAGCTGCGCTGCATAAGTAGCATCGGGGAAGACATCCTCCCCAAATCCTCTCTCGTGCATCACACCGAGCTCATAAGGGCCGGAGTTATACTGCGTGTCTGCAGACTCGGTCGCGCGCTTCAGCCACTTAACGCCCTCGCGGTACCGCTTGCCCAGCCCCATATCGCCAGCAATACAGGCGTTGGCCATGCGCATCATGGCGCCCGGGTGGTTTTTCGACGCTGCCTGACGGTAGAACTGGACTGCGCGGCTTCCGTCGACGCGACATCCCCAGCCGAATTCGTAGCACAGCGCTGTGCGGTAGCAGGCTTCGACGTGGCCGTGTTTGCTAGCTGCGAGGAAGAGCGGGAAGGACCGGTCGTAGTCTTCGACGCCTTTGCTGAAGAGGCCTGATGCGTACCCATCACCGAGGTAGTACTGTGCGAAGGGGAAGCTGCGGTCTGCAAGCCGTTGAAGGATGGATTTTGATTCGCGGAGCAGGCGGGCGCGCGTGATAGGGCTAGTGTCTTCGAGGTCCACGGCTGGCATCTCGCGCATTGAGTTTACCATGAACACGGCGAATTCGTAGAGCACGGTTGGCTCGTCGGTTTTCTTTACGTTCGCGAGGTACATCTCGAATGTCTCTTTGTGGCTAAGGAGAGAGGCGTTGTTTCCGACTGAGGCTTGGAGACGCGAGTTGTCGAATTGCGTTGTTGGGCCTGGCTGCGGGTATGATGTGTTGAGCAAATCGAGCAATGATGAAGACCTGTTTTCGGGGGTTCCGAAAGAGTTCCGTGACGAGGATCGCGCATGTAGATATGGCGATGCGGAGATGTTCCGGCGGTGACCACCGTCTGAGGCCGAGGAGTATGTCGAAAGCGGCCGCGAAAGCCTTGATCGTCGAACGGCAAGCTTGTCCGTCGAGGCGGATAGGTTATCTCCGGCATTGGGTGCAGGTTTCTTTGTATGTGCCGCAGCCGGTTGTTGCTGGTGATGGTAGGTCAGAGGCTCGTAGCTATCCGAGGCCTGCGCCACGCTATCCAAGCTTCCCCGCGAAGAGCCGTAGCTTTGACCCTCGCGCTCTAATGAGGAACCACTCTTTTTCGGGTTTCCGTGTCCATCGTCTTTCTGCGGCTCTACCACCGACCATGAGCCGCTGCTCGCTGGGGTGTGACCGTACGAATGCGAGTGTGTGTAGTGCGGGGCCTGTGTTAGGTCTCGCCGTGGGGGTCGGCAGGATTCCAGCTTTGCTGCGGCTGCTGTACGGGGCTGTCAAGGGACATGCCTGCGAACTCAGGGAGCTCCAATTGCGGTGTGGTGGGCCCACTGTATGTGCCTTCGATGCGCGCGCTTGAGGCATCGGGAATGTCTGCGCCATGTGCGATTTTAACTGGTGAGCGTGGCGAATTCTGAATGACAGGAGATGTTTCGGAATGGATAGAGAGTGGTTTGTGGGTGAGGATCAAGCTCTGGGGTCGGTTCGGGATGGTCCGTGGTGATTGTGATGGGGTGAATGGAGGTGAGGATCGGAGGTAAGCTGGTGGGGGAGAGGGCAGGGCCTGGCTGTGTCCCGGGACAGGACTGGCCATGGTGGAGAGATATTAAGAAAGGTCGAAAGCGAGAGGTTGGGGATCCATGAAGAAAAGCGACTGATTTAGTACTTTATGGGGACGTGGAGAAAAGCGAAGATCGCTAAAAGAGTGGACACGACACTATTAGAGATATTGTCACCCAAGCACGTCAAGGGAAGAGGCCAAGCGAGGGGAAGAAAAGGAAAACTAATACTAGTTCCCAAGTAATACTCTCTCTCTCTCTCTCTTTTATTGTTTTATTGTTTTATTGTTTTCTGTTTTCTGTTTTATGTTTCATCCTTTTTATGTTTCATCCGCGTACCGAATATGGTCGAGTGGGTATGAACTATTATTATGTCTTTGGTCTTTGGCACATTCTCTCGTATAACCCAAGTCAAGAACCCAAAGATCATGCCTATCAGGTTTGAGGGGCCTTTCTGAGACATGCCATAGTCTAACAGGTGGTCTAACAGGTCTAACAGCACATAAGACATGCCTCTGCTCCATAGGTTAAATACTTTGAACGGTCAAATCCCCTCTTTCACTGTGGGGACGGGCCTTTAAGTAGCATTTAGTGCCTCATTGTTTTTAGTTCGTCTTTAGTCCGTCTTTAGCCTCTCTTTGGTCTCTCTTTAGTGGTTCAGTAGTGTCCTTGGTGTCCGACCTTTCCGGGGCTCTGTGCGTGGCAGATGGAGCTGGAAAGTGGAAGTACCTAGATATTATACGGATATTTTCACCCTAACTCCGTACCTGGAACTCAATCGGAACAGACGGTCAGCTTTTAGTATTGACGCCTAGAAACAGAGGGCTTGAGCGTAACTGAGATGACGAATAGGTTGTCCTATTTTCTGATTGATTTCATTCAATTCCCCTCGACCATATCTATTTAAATCTATGCTCCTTACAGTCAACCACACCGTCAAAGCACAGACAAACAACACCGTACTCTCATCTCGTATGACGACATAACCGATACGGCAACTATATAGTACCAGATATCCCTCGCAGTACTGCGTATTGGGTACTCGGGGTTAGCTTTCTGTACTCCGTACTACACCTGGTGATGCGGAGATATGGATACCGTCAGCATTCCAGTCAGAGCCGAAGAACGTGGCCTGACAAGGATACCGGACTCCACGGTAAAGACCCAGCAAATCCGAGATCAAGTTGGTTTCTCAATTAGGTTATGTTCGAATAGAGAATAGGGAAGGGATTGTCTGCAGGATGTGATACGTGTCTTTCCTCGTGGTTCAAGACTACCGATGGGAAAAAATATATCTTCTTCGAAACGGAATGGTGCATATGCACTATGGGGCTCATGGGCTGTATGGATTCTGGATTCTGGGGGTTGCCGTGATGATCGGCCCGCCAGTGTCGATCATATTGGTCGGATTGGCATCGGGGGTACTGAGTCGACAGTAGTACAGGGGTATCCTCAATTTTGATAATTTTGATATCGAGACAATACTGATTCTTGACTTGTTTCAAGTATTATGTACATAATGCGTGCTATGGCTGATATCTAGATTGGTAGTACAAGTCCTTTTTTAAAGGTTCATACATATAGAGTGTGCATTACCGCTTACTATATCTCGAGGTTTGTGAATTCTAGACCACACAGACTCCGGACACAGCATTGTTCTTATGTAGATGTGTCAGAAAGCAGTTTATACTGGTTTTCACAGGAGGAAGCTTAACTATATTTATCCCGTTCATGTCTCTACTATCAGAGTCCGTGTAACAAAGTGGCAATTGGATATTTACGGCGTGGCAGTTAAACTAAGACCCGGTGGAGTCAGGGTCTTAGCTCAAAATAGAAAGAAAATGACCCCGTGATCAGAAGGGAATGTCGGCTGTTGTTTCCCATTCTTACGTTTCTCCCGTTTCTTATGGATTCTTATGGATTTTTATGGGCTTTTTATTAATATGAACCTTGGAAAGATACCTAGTTAACCGTGGAAGAGGTAGTCCAATTCACCTATAGCCCTGGAGAGTGTGAGATTGATTGGGGATTGCCCCTAGCGACAAAGAAATCTATTTATTTTTGTAATATGAAAGTACCCAAACAAGCCTAATCTCTCCCAGGCTAAGCGTCAGTCCCGTATCTTTGTCTCAGAACTTCCCTTTTTCCTTTTAAACACATTCGCTATTACTATTACTACATTCCCTCCTCGTTGTGTTTTAGGTCTTTCAATTTCTTGCATAGGTGGGGACTTTGTTGATTCTCCACCTCGTTGCACAGGCCGACCGTACCACTTTCGCTGAGAACTCCCCAATTTGCAATCCGCAACTCTAGTTGCCGGTCAATAATAGAGAGATCGAAGAGATTCAACAGATTCAACAGATTCGAAAGAGATTTGAACAGAATCACGAGTCTCATAAGTCGCATTGTCGAGGACCGGGTCAGCGCATTTGACATGTTTCAGTCGGCAAACAATAGATCCATATCGTGAACAGTCTTGTCCACACAACCTGCTGCTGATGAGCGGCAAATAATTAAGGTGAGTGCGCCAGCTGCAAATTGAAATCTAACCAAGTAGACAACCTCCCAGCCTGGATTGACTGACATCGGTCACCTTCGTAGCAGCGAAATGTCATTGCCGCAGAGGCCAGGCAAGCCCTCACCTCGGCGCGAAGAAGCCCGCGCATTTCGCGAACCCTCTCAGCGCCGCCGACGAGACATCGACTCGGGCGCTTACAGCGACGACCCCACTTCCCCCTCCCACCGACACCGTCGCCGACATTCCAGTCACCGAAGAACAATGGACACGGACGAAGAGCGCATGGACCGGAGCGGCGAGGTGAGACACAAAAAGCGCATGGTCAAACCAGAGCGCAGGAAGGATGACCGGGATCAACCCAACTATCACTACCGTCAAAAATCAAACCACATGCCCACTTTCCCCTCGGCGACGGGAAACGATCCGCTATTGGACAACAGAGATGGCGAGGCGGAGACGAACAGCTCGCGCAGCATGGATATGAAGTCCAGGGATGGTTTGTACGGTGCGCGGGGTAATGTCAACAAGCCCATGGAGCGGGTTCCGAGCAGACATCGCTCGAAGAAGAAGAAGAGAGGCTCGCGGAGGTCGTCGAAGGGAGCTGCAGATGAACAGAGACGCCTGAAGGCTATTGAGCAGAGTGGCCCGCCCGAGCTATGGCCCACGTATTGTGCAGTGCTCACATTCTTCATCCCGGACTTTGTGCTGAAATGGTTCGGCATGCCACAGAAAGAGCAGCGCAGTGCTTGGCGGGAGAAGATCGGCCTTATCAGCATCATTCTGATGATCGGTGCTTTTGTCGGTTTCCTGACTTTCGGTTTCACGGCTACAGTCTGTAGCTCGCCCCCGGTTCGATTGAAGGTCAACGAAGTCAATTCCAACTACATGATCTTCCATGGAAAAGCCTATGACTTGGCCGGTTCCAAGCACCCCGGTGTCACTGGTATCCCCGCTGGTTCGAATGTTATCTACGACTTGCAGCACAAGTATGGCGGACAGGATGGTAGTTTCTTCTTCCAGCAGGTCAACGGTGCGTGCAAGGGATTGATTACGGCTCAGCCTGATAGCGATATTCCAACAAACTCCAATGGAGATCTCGGATGGTACTTCCCCTGTGCGCCCTTCAACCAGGATGGTTCGTCCTCGCCAAATTTGACCGTTGCACATTACCCGGGCTGGGCTTGCCATACCAGCAAGGCGGCCCGTGAGCCGTTCTACTCGCTGAAAAGTGATGGGGATGTGTACTATACATGGGAGGATACGAAGAACAAGAGTCGCAATCTCGCGATATACTCCGGAAATGTGCTCGATCTCGATCTTCTTGCCTGGTTTGACCGTACTCAGGTGTCCTATCCCAAACAATTCGATGAGCTCCGCAAGAATCCTGATGTCCGCGGTGTTGATCTTACCTACTACCTACAAAGCGGGGAGGAAAAGAAGATCGGCAAGTGCTTGGCGCAGATTATCAAAGTCGGCAGCATCGACACTGATACGGTTGGCTGTATCGCGTCGAAAGTCGTGCTCTACGTGTCCTTGATCTTCATTCTCTCCATCGTGGGTGTCAAATTCGCTTTCGCCCTGCTCTTCCAGTGGTTCCTGGCACGCAGGTTTGCCGCGCAGAGCACGAGTATGTCCTCCGATGCCCGGACTCGCAATCAACAGATTGAAGACTGGTCGAACGACATCTACCGGCCCGCTCCACGAATTGCCGAACCTGTCATTGCCGATCGCCTCAACAAACGCGCCAGTTTCCTCCCGACCACTTCCCGTTTCTCAAGCCCATACAATGTTAACAGCAGCACTGGTAGCAAGCAGAAGCCGATGTATGTCACGATGGCTAGCCAGAACTCGACTTCTCGCCTCATGCCCAGCTCGAATTCCAACCCTGAAACTATGTACAAGTTAAGCCACAGCGGTAGCGGAGGTACTCTCAGCGCTGATAACTCCCGGCATAATCCTGCTGCCAGTCGGACTAGCTTGGTTCCTCCCGGTCAGGGTCAGCAAGATCCGGGTTACGCTACACTATCGACGGATCATGACGGCTTGGGTCCTGCTGGTTTCATTCACGAGGCTGTTGTTCCTCAGCCTCCACCTGAATGGCAGCCATTCGGCTACCCTCTGGCTCACAGTCTTTGTCTGATTACTTGCTACTCTGAAGGTGAAGAGGGTATCAGGTCGACTTTAGATTCTATTGCCATGACCGACTACCCGAACAGCCACAAAACGATCTTGGTCATTTGTGATGGTATTATCAAGGGTAAGGGAGAGGAATTCTCCACCCCGGATATTGTGTTAGGTATGCTCAAGGACCCCGTTGTCCCCAAGGACGAAGTCGAGCCTTACTCCTACGTTGCTGTGGCTACTGGCTCCAAGCGACACAACATGGCAAAGGTCTACACTGGATTCTACGACTACGGCGATGCTTCGATCATCCCGACGGAGAAGCAGCAGCGTGTCCCCATGATGGTGATTGTCAAGTGCGGAACTCCCCAGGAGTCGACCCAGTCAAAGCCTGGTAACCGAGGCAAGCGAGACAGTCAGATCATTCTCATGTCCTTCCTCCAGAAGGTTATGTTCGACGAGCGCATGACGGAACTCGAGTTCGAGATGTTCAATGGCATGTGGAATGTCACAGGCATCGCGCCGGACTTCTACGAGGTTGTTCTCATGGTCGACGCCGATACAAAGGTGTTCCCAGACAGCTTGACCCACATGGTCTCGGCCATGGTGAAGGACCCAGAAATCATGGGTCTCTGTGGAGAAACTAAGATCGCAAACAAGACCGACAGTTGGGTAACGATGATCCAAGTCTTCGAGTAAGTTATCCACCGTTTATGGTGTAACGAGCGCAATAACTAATTCCACCACAGATACTTCATCTCTCACCACCAAGCCAAATCATTCGAATCCGTCTTCGGTGGTGTAACCTGTCTCCCTGGATGTTTCACCATGTACCGAATCAAAGCCCCGAAGGGCGGCCAGAACTACTGGGTGCCTATCCTCGCAAACCCAGATATCGTCGAACACTACTCCGAGAACGTGGTCGACACCCTCCACAAGAAGAACCTACTCCTTCTCGGTGAAGATCGCTACCTAACCACCCTGATGCTCAAGACCTTCCCGAAACGCAAACAGGTCTTTGTCCCGCAAGCCGTCTGCAAAACAGTCGTGCCAGACGCATTCCTAGTTCTGCTCTCCCAGCGCCGTCGTTGGATCAACAGTACCGTTCACAACCTCTTCGAACTGGTCCTCGTGCGCGATCTGTGCGGCACCTTCTGCTTCAGCATGCAGTTCGTCATCTTCATCGAGCTTATCGGAACTCTCGTCCTGCCCGCCGCCATCTCGTTCACCATCTACGTCGTCATTGTCTCCATCGTCAAGAAACCGGTTCAGGTCATCCCACTAGTCCTACTCGCACTAGTCTTAGGTCTACCAGGTGTTCTGATCGTCGTCACAGCACACAAACTTGTCTACGTGCTCTGGATGTTGATTTACCTCGTGTCGCTTCCAGTGTGGAACTTCATTCTGCCTATGTATGCGTTCTGGAAGTTCGATGATTTCAGTTGGGGTGATACCCGTAAGACTGCGGGTGAGAAGGATAAGGGACACGGCGATGCCGAGGGAGAGTTTGATAGTACGAAGATCACGATGAAGAGGTGGCGTGATTTCGAAAAAGGTATGTCTTACTCCGTACTCTTGGAATGATTTGATGGATGTTGTTGATTCTAATATTCTTGTCAGAACGCCGCCTGCGCAGTGCCTGGTCGCAGCCGCCCCATGCTTCGACGGATCCTTATCCATCGCAGTATGAGACGTATTCACATTATTAACGAAAGCGATAAGCGCTTGATTTTTATTTTTTATTTTTTATTTTATTTTTTATCTTTATTCTTTGTTGTTTATGTTTTCTCCCGGATACATCTGGTTTCGACGTGATTTATTGTACCATTTCCATACCGGTGTTCAAATGTTCTTATAATATAGTTCAGAGCGTTGTACGACTGACGAGATGATTATTTCTTACGTGTGCTCATATCTTACTTGATCCATTCTCATGTTTTTTTTTATTTATTTTTTTTTTATCGCATTCATCTGAAGCATTTCGCTTCTTGTACGGCGATTTGGACCGGGCGCATTATCCTGTTGATACATCTATAGTAGTGAATAAATCGTCATACTACTCGACATAGCGTAATTGAAATAGCGTGACGAACTCTGTTAAAGCAGCATGAACTATCATATAGTTGCTGGCTTTTCACAGCCCCATGCGTGCTGTCAGCCCAAGCTGTGCCCAACAGGATCAGAGCGCAAGTCGGGCTTAGTCGGGCTTATTCGGGATCTGCATGCGTTAGATGTACTATAAGTACTAGATGTACGCCCTGCATTATCGACATATGCGAGGCTCGACTTGATCTGTAATCAATAAACATGGGTTTTGATTTCATGTAGATTTCATTAGTCTACTTCACATGCTTAATCCCTGAACTATATCTAATCTTCTATATCAAGTACTTCATGCACTCGAGAGTAATAATTAGATAGGCTTTAATATCAGAGCTGAATGTCTCTGTATTGTATGACGTATCATCTTTTGCCAGATCCCGTATGCTTTCTTTTTCTTTTCACCTCCCCGAGATCAAGACCGAAAAAGGCGGAGAATGTCCACTCTCACGTTTCTCCCCTCCACGTTCTGACTGCATATCAGAATCAATATATCCCTTTCATCCTTTTCTGTGTCCTTGCAGGTTCATCTCCTTCGGAAAAGTCTACCGTGCACTGTCCTATGGGTTCTCCCCCTCTATTTCCCTTTAGATCAACCCACAGCTACCGGCGTTTCACCTGCCACTAGTAGTTATAGCAGAAACCGATATTACAAGCATTACTACATTCTGGCATTTTGATCTCTACTCATCTTTCTCCTCCCCGGCTTCTCCTAACTCTCTGCGGTTGAACTCGGCATTTCCGTCTCGCCCGCTTTCCGCTCTCCGCCTTTCCCTCGCGTCATATACGTGGGCTTGGAACTGCCTGCAGTGTGGGGTTGAACTCTCCGAGTCAGCAGTCACCTGCGAGACACGCTGCAGCAAAACACCTTCTGTGTAAATCCAGAAAAGTGTCACTGTAGGTGCACTCTGGCATTCTGATTACTGGATGGTTTTCCTCCGCTTGTGCGACCGCTGATATCTGCCATCCCCTGCGCATTTGACCCTTTAGGACGTGATCATCCGTCCCGCCTTGCTGCACGGTGCCTGGAATAGGCAACTAACCCTCCCACTCTGCGGTTAAAGGTACATCTTAGGGTTTCGAGACAGACGTCCATGGCGGGTGATGCTTTATTCTTGCACCTGTGACTCTGCGAATTGCCCCTCCGACTTCCCTGCCCGCTTACGAGATCCCGCTGCATCGCCGCACCATGTGTCATGTGATATTGATGGTCTTGCAATTCAACACCGAATCATGAATCCTTCTCCACATCGTTCCGCTACCAGGCTGTCTGGTCGGGAAGACGATGCGACGGCCTTGAACTCGACTCTCCATTCGGACATATTTTCTACCGATCGATTTGCTTCGGCGACGGATATGACTTCCAACGTCGATCGCCGTTTACATGACGTGGGCGTTGCAGCTCTGGCTGCTGTGTCCCAGTACCCGCGTGCGGTGGATAATGCACACGGGGATTCTTTTATGGTGTCCGAAGTCGTCAACGCTGTCACGAGTGCTGGCAGTCCTCCCGATTATCGACATATGGACTCCGAGGGTTCGTTGCTGCCGGGACACAGAGGTCACTTTCAACACTCTGGAACGGGAGGTGTCCCTACGGCTGGACCGGCGTTTGTCTTTGGTGCGAACCAGAGTGGCGACGTGGATATGGAGGCGATTGTCCGGAACTTGATTCACCGCACCGCCGGCCGGCAAAATATCGCCATCGCTCCTGCTAGCGATATGGAGGATGTTCAGAAGGATATGGTTGGGGATTACGAGTCCGCTACCATGGAAGATAACCCGTCGCCCTCGTCGACGGCTGATGATGAGCTTGAGGACTTTCTCCGATTCTATCCGGACGAAGAGGAGTATTACTACCAGCGCAAGGAACGACCGACGCATGAAGCCGAAATGCCAGACTGCGATCTAGATGATTTTTATAACAGTGTCAGTTATGACGATATTGATGTGGATCCCCAAACTGTCGGGTTGTCTATTACAGAACCTTTGGGGAACTACACCGACGATCAAATGGAATTCGCTGGACCACATCCCGCATCTATAATCCACACATCCAGTAAGGTGCTATGGCTTTTGAGACTAGACCCTAACTAATTCCCCTCTAGCATACGAGCGCAATTTCACTATTGATGAATTCATCCAGCGCTGGATGGTCTCAATAAACGTCATTCCACATGGCTTTCATTCTGAAAGTCGAATTCCACCGCAGCTCCGTCCGCTCTCAAAGATGATTAGCTGGGAACCCCCACGTGAGGTTTTTCGGCCATCTGGATGGAGACGTGATTTCTATGATCTACAGCAGATCCCATGGACAGAAACCTTACGAGTGACACGGTCTGATGCACGAGCCGTGCGCGACGCCTGGTATACTTCGTATCATAACTTGGATTACTCCCACGTGAGCCATGCAAAGCGCCTTACACGAAACGAAACTTTTTTCCGCGAGAGCTCCATGCACACGTCACACAAAGCGTCTATCGAGCACTTCCAACTCCGCAATCTGATGTCGACGCCCGCATCTAATACCGTCCATTTCGCCTCCAGCTCCAAAGTATTTTCCTGGGCCCCGACAACCGGCGACGCACGCTGTATAATCGACATGAGCCAACCAGACCCAGAATCAGGCTTCCTCGGTCCCGTCAAAATATCCACCATGAAAACAGCCCACGGCCTCACAATCGCAGGCGGGTTCTGCGGCGAATACGCCCTACGCAGCACCAGCGGCTCCAACCCCGGCATAAAGGGTCTCGTAACCCCAGACTTCAACGATGGCATCACCAACCACATCGACATAGTCCCGAACCGAACAGGGCCCTCCCCAACCGGCGTCTTCGCCTCAAACGACAAACACCTCCGCATCCTCGACACAGAAACAAACATTTTCACTTCCGACCAAGAACTCTCCCAGCCAATAAATTGCACCGCCACATCCCCGGACAGCCGTCTCCGCGTCGTAATCGGTGACTCACCAGACGCATGGGTCATAGAATCCGACACAGGCCGTCCAGTCCACCCCCTCCGCGGCCACCGCGACTTCGGCTTCGCCTGCGCCTGGTCCCCAGACATGCGCCACATAGCAACATCCAACCAAGACAAAACAGTCATCATCTGGGATGCGCGCACCTGGCGTCCACTTGAAACCATCGACTCCGACGTCGCGGGATACCGTTCCCTGCGCTTCTCCCCTGTCGGCGGTGGCCCGCGCACCCTCCTATGCACCGAACCTGCCGATCGAATTTCTATTGTTGATGCGCAGCTCTTCCGCTCGAGACAGGTGTATGATTTCTTTGGGGAGATCGGTGGTGCGGATTACGCACCTGATGGCGCTGAGATCTGGGTTGCGAATACCGATCGTCATTTTGGTGGGTTTATGCAGTATGAGCGACGGCAGTGGGGGCAGCGTGTTGGCTTGACGGATTTGCCGTGTGAGTGGGTTACGGAGGAGGAGTTGGAGGTTGATTCGAGGTGTGTTTTGAGTAAGAGGGAGAGGGGTTTGAGGTTTTTAAGGTATTTGCCGGATGAGGAGCATGATGAGTTGATTCTTTGATTTGCTGCCTGTTGTGCTTTGACTATTTGATTCGTTGATTCTGTGATCTGTGTGGATGTTGTTGCCTTTTATGCTTGATGGGATGTTCGTCTTGTCTGTCTGTTTTCCGTCTCTGTTTTCTTTTCTTCTGGGTTGGTATATTTTGCGCCTTTTCATCTGCATCTGATACCCTGGGCTACGGAGTTGGAGGTTGTTCATATTCGTTTCTTTTGTTTTTAGAGTATTGGATGTGGATTCACGATGATATGTTGTAGGCTCTTGATAATGACTTGACTTAACGGTACAGGTGCAATCCAACCAAATCCTCATTTTCGCTACAGTATTATATACCTTTTGTTCCTCCATCTGTACCTAAGATCCTATACTTTTGTCTAGAAACAGACATCTAGAGAAGAGTTGGGGAATGCAAGAACCCCGCCTAGTAGCCTGTCCTTCTTTCCCTCTCTTTTTGCATTGTAGTCTATCAAAGCTAAATATCCTGAAACATCCTGTACAAAAGCTTGTTCTATCAATCTTTTCCCTGATATTATCCCGACTGCCAGCATCGCCAAGCTCAAAATGGAAAAACTAACTGAGAAGATGAGAAACGTTCGCTTAGCTTGGGCGTTAGTTTGTAGGAGAATGGTGTCGGAATATATATTTGTTTGTGATAGGTATATAGTGGATTATACGCAATGCACTCATTCTAGAATCCAAAGGGGGTGTTCATGCGCTCTAAGTAATATACTAATAGTGTTTTCGAATTCTACTACTATATTTGATCAATACTCCATTCCATGTATACAGCACAAGAGGGAAGAATCGAGTCACATGACTTTCAGACTCGGTTTATATATACTCCGATAATATTAAGGATCCACCTCCATGGCACATCCCATGTATTTTGTATTTTGTAGAACCTAGGATATGTAGTATGTAGTGAAGGGAAACGGTGTATCCACGGATACTTTATGGTACTTTACTTCGTGAACATATTCCATGTATGTACCAAATTTTATTTGCTCTATTATAGCAAGAACTACTCCGTACCATTACTGCAACTTCTGCTCATCTTCGTAGTTCGTTCATTAAACTCCGAACTATCACCTAAAACACACTAAACCCACTAAACCCAGTCGAAAAACAATCCAAAATCAATAGTCAATCTCCGAAAACATCCACTTAAAAAGCCCGCTGGTCAATAATTGGCCACTTCAGCTCCGATCCACCCCATCCGATCGAACAGCGAATCGCCCAAATCAGAGAGATCAACCAAAAGTGCCCCGCAACCCCTCCTTCCTCAGCTGAAGCTCTTCCATTCCATTCTGTTCTTTGAGTTTTGCTCCTAAATTCACAGCATTTGCATTTCCACTTTCTTCTTACATCACTCTATCTCTATATTCTCATCCTCCATCTTTTTACTCCAACCATGTCTTACCGCGATAACCAGCAATACGGCAGTGGCGGCGGCGGCGGCGGCGGCGGCGCTAGCAACAGCTACTACAACAACGATGAGGATTTCTCCGGCCGCAACAACAACAATAACAACAACTCCTACGGTGGATCCAGCGGTGGTTACGGCAACTCTGACGAGGGTCGTTCCAACCAGGGCTATGGTAACCAGAACCAAGGCCAGGGTAACTACGGCGGCCGTCAGGAGTCCCACGGCAGTGGAGGCCACGGAAACAACACCAACAACGACTCCTACGGTGGATCCAGCGGTGGCTACGGCAACCAGAACCACGGCCAAGGAAACTACGGCGGCCGCCAGGAATCCCACGGTGGCGGAGGCTACGGAAACAACAACAACGACTCCTACGGTGGATCTAGCGGTGGCTACAACAACCAGAACCAGAGCCAAGGAAACTACGGCGGCCGCCAAGAATCCCACGGCAGTGGAGGCTACGGCAACAACGACAGCAACAACTCCTCCAACCACCACTCTTCCAACAACGACGACTTCAGCAGCGCCGCCTCGCACGCACAGGAACACCACAGCAGCGAGGACAAGTCCCTGTTCAACACTGCTTTGAACTTCCTTAAGGACCGCAAGAGCTCCGGCGACGACGTCGACGAGCAGCAGGCGGCTAATGCCCACCAGGCCATGTACGGATCGGGTAACTCTTCGAACCAGAAACATGATTCCAACACTATTGGTGCTGGTGCTGCGATGCAGGCTTTGAAGATGTTCTCCGGCGGCAGCAGTGGCAGCAGTGGAAGCAGTGATGGTGGTATGGATAAGAATAAGCTTATCGGGCTTGCTATGGCTCAGGCTGGAAAGTTGTTTGATGAGAAGAATGGATCTGGGGGTAATGTGGTATGTTTTTATTCTTTTGATTGGGGATGATGATGATGCTAATGATTGTTTACAGTCCGGTGACAAGCAGTCTGCTGTCAACTCTGCTGCGGAGATGGCGCTTAAGATGTACATGAAGAACCAGGGTGGTGGCTCTAGCGGTGCTGGTGGGCTTATGAGTCTTGCCAGCAAGTTCCTGTAAATGTTTCCCTTTGCATAAGTACATGTCTGGCACGTGATATCTTTCTCTTTCGATTTTAGTGCCCTTGTCGCTTTTTGAAGAACAAACAATCCAGGAGATTAGCGAAAAGAAGATAACAGCATATCGTGTTGAGCAAATGTAGCTGTACATCACGTTGTGTATTACTTGGAACGTATTACTCGTTGGCCAAGAGACTGGTTGGCGCACCATCTATTCACTTTCACTTCGAGAGCTTGTCCCTGCCAACCATTAAATTGGAGAATCAACCTTGTAATTTATGTCTCCGTCAGTATACTTCATTATACTAGATTATATATGAAGCCTGTAAATGATAATAGTTCAGGCTCAAGAATTTCCCAGCCTTTTCACCTCTAACCAACCCTTTTGTGGCATCCAATAACTTCATTTTCCAATGATGCTACCTACCCCTCAACTGGATCAGTTCTATTCTAAATATGACGCAACCTGTCTCGGCTAAAAATGCCGACGGAGGAGCTCCATGCAAAGACCATTGAGGTCCGTAACAAGTACATAGTTGTTTACCAATAATCCAAGCTGCCATTCGATGTATCTATACCAAGAGGGGGAACCGCTGCCCCTGTATATGGGACATTCTCTCCCACAATTACTATATAGGGCCCTCTCTGTTCTTTTCAACATTCACTACTGGGCACTAATATTATCCAGTTTGTTCGGGCACTGAACACCAAACGGACCACGTTTTGTGTCTCGATTCTGGAAGTTCTTGGCTATACTCAGAATGGATGGTCGACAAATTCCACTTGGCAAAATATGTTCAACAGTATCTCAAGCCTACCCCGTTCCCTAATCAGGGTTTGCGCATATCTACGACTATGTACGTACCCAAGAGGGGTCAAAATATGCCATAGGGACCGAGTTATGCATTAAGCTTATCCCCAGTTTTTATGGCATACGCCACTCCCGTCTTAACCGTCAACATAGATTCTGCAGAAACACGGGCCTAGATCAACCCCAATCGAGTTTGGCGTGCAAATTTGTCTAAAAATACGGCATACACCCTTGTAAGCCTTCACTTAACTAGGTGTCAACTTAGCGCGGTCATAACTATGCAGGAAACAGTGTGCACAATTCAAAATCAAAAGGACGAAGTTGTTGGTTTATATAGTGTTCCAAGATTTTTCTAATTTCTTGTCGTCTCATCTATGCCCCTTGGCTCAGAAGAACATTCTCCTAATCCAAGATGCTTCTTCAATCCGCTTCAAGTTTGCTTCATGAACACTACATTTCAGTCATCAGTGCTATAGTCCGCTTGCCCCCTCTCTTCTATTAAGTTAGTCTCGTGCTAATGTGCTCTGATTAGATCTTACTGGTATTAGTCTCGCAGGTATACTACCAACTGTTCGTCAACCCTCTTGGCAAATACCCCGGACCCAAGCTTGCTGCTACATCACGTCTACCTCAACTCTACCACACTCTCAAAGGTGACGTGGTTGAATGGGTTAATGGACTACACACCACGCACGGTGATGTAGTCCGCGTCGCCCCAGATGAGCTAAGCTATGCGACTGGCGAGGCGTGGAAGGGAATATATGGCCACGCTTCTGCAGGGAAACAAGTCACGGAGAAGGACCTTCGATTCTACGGTTCATCGTTTAATGGAGCTCCAGATATTATCCGGGGAAATGGGTCTGACCACGCCCGCTTTCGCCGCAACTTCTCTCACGCCTTTTCGGATCGGGCGCTTCGAGAACAACAACCTTTGATCTGCAAATATGCGGATACTTTAATCGACAAGCTCCACAGAACGATCGAGGAGGACCCCGAGGCGAAGATCAATATGGTCAGCATGTTAAACTTGACGACTTTTGATATAATCGGAGATTTGACCTTTGGTGACTCCTTGAATCTGTTAGCTGGAACTGGTAACCTGGCTTGGGTATCCGCAGTTTTTATCAGCATGAAAACCAATACTGTCAGCAGGCTAGCGCGCTACTTCCCTTGGACCACTCCCATTGTTCGGATGCTCATACCGAACGAACTGAAGCAACAAAGTATCGCTCATTACAAGGCGTCCCAGGAGAGTGTTGACAAAAGGATTGACGCCAACCATACGATGTACAAACCTGACATCTGGGGTATTGTCATGAATCAAAAGGAGAGTCTTCGTCTCAGTCGCGCAGAGATGCATGCCAATTCCCAGATTTTCATGGTTGCAGGTACCGAGACTACTGCAACTGCGCTAAGTGGTTTGCTGTATCGTCTCCTGATGACGCCTGAAAAGATGAGCATCATTGTAGAGGAAGTTCGCGGGGCTTTTGACAAAGGTTCTGATATTGAAATAAGAGCTCTGGAGCACATGCCATATCTCAATGCATGCATTGAGGAAGGGTTGCGCATCTACCCTCCAGTTCCAGTTGGTCTGCCTCGCATCGCTCCTAAGGATGGGTTGCTTGTTTGTGGTGAACATATCCCAGGAAAGGTATTTATTTTTCGCTCCATATTTTCCATGGGTCCTAATAATTAAATGATATATTAGACTGTTCTGTCGGTTCATCACTGGGCTACCTATCGCAACGCTCAGAACTTTAGGTTGCCAAATCACTTCATCCCTGAGCGTTGGATTAGCGACGAGTTTGCCACTGACAACAAGGCTGCATTCCAGCCATTCTCATTCGGCCCTCGCAACTGCCTTGGAAAGAAGTATGTTCTCGTCTTGCTCTCCAAGTAGATGTTCTAAGTAGCTAATGATAGAATAGTCTGGCATACCACGAAATGCGGCTCATTCTGGCCAAGCTGCTGTACAGCTTCGAGCTTTCTCTTCTCCCGGACTCCATTGGCTGGGAAAAACAGAAAACCTTCCTGTTGTGGGAGAAGAAAGATTTGATGGTTCAGCTGAAGGCGAGAAAATAAAGGGGCATGGTGGTTTCGGAAGGAAAATCATCTGGCTCTATATATCATCCACCAGTTCGAAATACGTAACATTGACAGAACCATATCTGTTTTACATAGCATAGCACAAAATCCCACTCCTTTGAGATTTTCCATCTTCCCATCGGTATTCTCCTCCCATCTATACATAGTATTTGTCAATTTGACTTAGACCTATCTCAAGCGCCAATAGAAACTTTAATGGAGGATTATTTTCGTCGCTTAATAGCTCCCTTGGATATCCATCGCCAATTAAGCCTTTTATTGGCCTCCGTGTACCTTCGATGTATTTTACTTATGCTGTCAGGCGAGGTCAAATATATTTAATAGGACAGCAAATAGAGCTGGATGATCTTGTCTTGTTCTTCATCTTTTCTTTGAAAAAAAAAAATTGACCTCGTATATCTCATTCATTGTTCAAAAACTACCCCTCCAGCTTGGGGCTTTCAGCCGCAAATGGAGATAGATGCCTGAGTTAGTGACATGCAGACCAGTCAGACTTCTTTATTTCAACTTGGCTACCTGTCAGCTTATAGCCCCACTAGTACCTCGTATTGGTGATTTGAGTTAAAATTAATAGCTTGTTGCGGTTAAGGGAAGCTTATTTATGCTTTTCCAGTCATCGTGCACTTATTACAGCCTCCCTGTCCTAATTACCTCTAAATATTCGACTCGCGCAGCACAAATTATCGAATCTGCTATTCGGCTAATTATTCCTGTGGCAACCATGTCAACCCCCGTATGGGCCGATGGGCCATGGCCACTAATCGTAACCCTTCCAAAACCCAAGACGTGGTAATAAATCATTTTTAACCTTCTATCTCAAGCGTGTTTCATTTACTTTTTCTTAGTCAAAACATGCTGCTATTTACATTGCAAACGAAATGGCCTGTGCCCATAACTGCATGATCCGGGGCTTAAACAGCATCTACCTCCAAGCGGAGTATGTCAAGAAACTTCAAGACATTAAAGATTTTCTGTTTTTCGTCAAGTCCTGGGTAGACTGGGTGTCCGACCATCATATCCTCGAAGAAAAACAGATGTTTCCCGGCTTCGAGAAAGTCATTGGTACGGCTGGCTTCCTAGACACCAACGTGGAACAACACCATACATTCGAGCCGCATTTGAAAACTTTCTAGAGTATGGCAGTCAGTCTAGCCGTGTAAATTACGATGCTGCGACGATCCGTAGAACTATTGAGGAAATGGCCCCCAGTTTCCACCGCCATCTAAGCGACGAAATCAACAGTCTCCTCTCAATGCAGCCTTATAATGGAGCAGCATTGTTGAAGGTGTACAAATATTGTGTAGCAGAAGCAACCAAGAAAGACAAGGTACGTTGTTATATACAGGGCCTAGGGACCCAAGGAGATAACCAATACTGATAAAATCTTCTATCACAGCAAGTGGTCCCTCCTATGGTACTTGGCCTGCGGGACGTCACTTTCGAGGGAGGAAACAAGTGGCCTTCACTGCCCCCCATGGCTGCATGGGTGATATCTTATTTTCTGGCCTGCCGGCATTCTGGCTCATGGCGCTTCCTTCCATGTGACAGCTGGGGGAAGCCTCGCGCATTGGCATTTGGACCTGGGGGTGACAACGAAGCAACAATGGACTAATAATGAGATATTCGCTTCGTCTTACTTTTTATTGTCCTAACTATTGCTACACGAGACAGGAAAGTTAAAATGTGCCTAGTATTCAAATAATTATTCAAATAGTTTGATCTAGTCCCAGCACTAGAAGTGAGACAGTCTATCTTTGTCTTATAAGCTTTCCTAGGATATATAATGGACCAGTCAAACAGCAGAGGTCCTTCTATTGTGTAAACATGTGCACAGCCCGGCTCCGCTCTAAGGTTCTAGAGACAGTGCTCTCCGGAATTTCTTTGGAACTCTGGCCCCGCCCAAAACTTCTTTGTAGTATTCATCTTTGTTTTTTTTTATTTGGCTTTTCCTGGCCAGCCTTTAACCTATCACAACTGCGCCGTGAGGCCATTGAAGCAACGACAAGCCTCCACGAGGCTCGAAGTATGTTTTCAGCCAGAGGTACATTCTACGCTGTACACGTCTCTACATAGACAGAATAATGTCTGTCAGCTCTAGATGTTAGAGGCGGGGGTCGATTTCACCACGTCAGCAAAGTTCAGCTATCCACGATCATCGTGTATACCCCTCATCCACGATGACATATATACCAATATCTCCAGTAAATAATATCCTTTTCCACCACGACTACATTAATAAAAGTCCCAATCACCATGTCACCTTTACCTTATTGCCTGTGGCAGCAGCAACCCGCAACTTTTCAACGCTGTCAAACCTCTGTACTTACCCGAGTACGAAAGTAAGGGAAATACCGGCCTTGCTTGAAATCACAAATTGACACCATCCGTACATATAGTTATACATAACGTCGTTAGCAACACCTCTGGAGCAGTCGAAATACCCGCCTTGCTGGAAGGGCAGGTCCCTCCCATTTCTGAAGAGCCCAATCGTGGCACCATGAACTACTCCAAGCCACCCGTGGCTGTGTTTGCGGGGGCCTTGTACGGCGACGAGGAAATTGATGAAATGCGCCAAGCATGTCAAGGAATCAGTTCTATCCCTTGGTTAAAGATGGATATGAGTGTGCCTAAGCCGCCTCTCGGGCCAGGTTATGCGGAGCATGTCGTACAGAGAATCAAGGAATGTATGAAGAAGATTGAAACTGAGGGGAAGTTGGAACAAGATGGTATCTGGCTTTATTAAAAGATACTTGGGTTCCCTACAGAATTATGTATGCAGTATGACAACGTATGGTAAGCTTGTTGGCAGCCTTACTCCCTCTCTCTTTTTCAGTCATAAGCTGGATTTAACCTGTGGTTTCTTTCTTATCTCTTTGTCTTTCCTTGCGGTATACTATAACATTCTAATAAATCAGTCACTACCTAATTCTCTAGTAAGGTAGTGTGTAAAAATAATGTAATAAATATGATTATGCCTTTAGTAGGGTAGGCAACATATATAGTTGCCTGCTATAACCCCAAGCAGTCACATCACGTGGACTGCCTTATACCTCGTCTATGGACGCCTTGAACACCAGGACCCTGACCGCCATCTTCTATCGATGTATGGAAGTGTATAATTTCTATAATTTAAGTGGTATGGGAAAAGTGACAAGAAAGTAGAGGGAAGGGCAACCGGGCAAAATTAGCATTCAATAGAGAGGCACATTGTCAATGATAAAAAACGCAAGTATTGTTCCAAGCGCAGTAATAGGTCGCCTACGTTCCTCAACTCTTCAGATCCAAACTGCAAGAAATCCACGAAACAACAGGAAGCAAAAGTAGTGTGATTGACAAGGGCTCAAGGACTCCATAGCCTGCCAATGTGAAGCGGAAAGCCATTATAAGTTCGACCGTTGACTCCGTTCAATCACCCACCTCATGGCAGACACCATATCCTGCACCTCCGCTGCGGACCGCGGGAGGCTATGCACGGCGCTATGCTCGAAAGATCGTCGCCACTTAGGGAGACAAAAACTCTCAGTCAACAATGAGCACCGTCTCAGCGCTGGTGGATCATTCTTCGCACGAACATGAAGGGTTGGAAACGATAGACGCGGCTCGTACAGATCTGGATGCAAAGCGCATGGGACGTCCAACGGCTGGCGATCCAGAAAGCTTATACGGGACTTACGGATGATTGGCTCCAGTACATCAATGACCTCGGCCAGCACCTTGGCAGAAGCTTGAGCTGGTTCTGGGAGCTGGGATAGCTGGTCATCTTGACCAGAGCGAAGACGCTGTTCGTCCTCTGGGGAGAGGGAGCCGAACACGGATCGGTAGTAGGCTGGGTCTGTGGCAATTATTGGTACCGTCGAGCAGAAAATCCCAAATCGAACGGGAAGAGGCCTTTCTGGATATTTGGCGATCTGGTCGAGCAGATAAGCGATTAAAACTGCTGCCCCCTGGCTAAAGCCAAAGACCCCATCGAAGGGTCCTTGGGTCTCAAATGTCTCTTCAACCAAAGCATGAGCGGCCCTCATACTGACAGGATCGAAGTCTGTCGAGTAGCAGAGGTAGGGGCCAGGAACGGAGGGCGCAGTACCTATCATGATTAAGGGTTTGTTAATGTTTACGCAACATCAGCCAGAAAGTTTGGCTACAAGGCACTCACCAGGCTCGGGTTGACAAACTACTTTCCCTCCCAGAAAATGAAACTCCCAGCTAGGATCACATACTTTCTTCAACCTTGACATATGGGCCTTCATCTGATCGGGGCTTGTCCCGTAGCCATGGAGACAGAGTATCCTCATGTTATCTGGTTGGATCCTTTTTGGGAGGCAGTATATGATCCAACCTACGCCAGTAGTAACACCAGGTCGAAGAATGGTGACCAAGTAGATAATATAAGAAGCCGATGAATGCTGCCGAGCGATCGACCGTCTGCCCTACCGGCCTATTTCAAGAATAGATCGCTTACATGGTGATGAATTTGAAAAAGTTTGTACAGTGTATCCTCCAATTAGACTTCTTCGAGAATAGTAGGGGGGTTCTGTCCGATCTGTGGAACAACCCTACATGAGACTATGGGAAGAGCTGAGTGGTGGGCTGGCAGCAAGGGGGATAGGAGCTATAGGCGATGGTTTTCGGTGTCTCCACGCATTATGCAGATCGCTCTCGACGACTTCGCACCGGATTTTAAGACTGATTTCAGATACATCTTCGCATTCAACTCATCGGAATTCCTTAGTCAGGATTTGATAGGAACGATCAGATATCTAGTCTGTAAGTTGAGTATGCACGAAAGAAAAATCACACGACCTCAATGGGTCAAGGGAAGTTGACCAGCCAAATCAAACAGAATTTATAGTCAAATCTTGGAAAATACGGGATTAGACAATTATTGGGGCGATAATTGCACGCTACACGCTAGCCCAGAATTTAGGCCCACCTCGATAGAAGAAATGGCGGTCTAGGGGGGTTATACCTAAGCTACTTTTCCACCTTTTGGAGCAAAATTGCGTAGAAGAATGTATTGACATGTTATTATATACTACAAATTAACAGTCAACGAGAAACATAGCCCGGCTAGGACAACGAAGGCAATAATGCGAGTTGTCCAGTCAAATCCAACGGCTTCGATCAGCTTGTGAAACATGATGGGGTAGATCACAGCGCCTATAGACCATTAGCATCTTTCTATCCCCTGCACATTAAAGTGTGAGAGAAAGCAGCAATACGGTAGGGGCATCATGACTGAGCTTACCAAGAATTAAAGAACAGAAAGAATGCCCCCGCTACCTGAAGCCAGGCAACAACTCCTCCATTTGGTGGTGGGGAAGGGGTTATTGGTGGCTCCGGTGCGCATTCCTGGGCTTCATATGCTTTAGGCCTAGCTGCAGGTATCAGTGAGGGCATTAGTGAGGGTGGTTTTAGAGGCAACCCTTCTTTGTCAGACTGGACTGACATGGTCATGACAGTTCAAATCTGACCTATTTGATAGGATTGAAACCGCGCTCAGAAACTTGATTTCCAAAAAAGACAGGAGCGAGTTGCCACTGGAAAAGACACAAGGTATTAAGTGTGTGTTAGGGAAATGAACGAGAGGGAGAGAGTGAGGATGGAAGAGAGCAAGCGAAGAAGGAATATCTGTAGGTATTAACAATAGCGCTACTGCTGCTGTTAGGAGAAACCACAATTTAGAGAGAGATGATTTGAAATTAAATAGAACACCACCGAGCTAATGCTTTCCTCTGTACCATACGGAGTTAGCCTGCTTTGCCTTCATATAAGAAAGGGGTTTCGGCATTCAGTATGAGTAGGTCACCATCTTAGTTATTATCATTTAACCAAGCTGATTTGAAAATTTGGGGGAAGGGTTCTCTATCTACTTATCTTTCGGAAAACGCAAGGTCTCAGGGAGGTTATATTCAGATACATGTGATATAGAGACTGGTGGACATATCGTAATTGGCTTCAGGTCCCTTGCTTTCTTACCAATGACTCGAACAATAGAGGCATATTTTATCATAAAGGCAATAAATGAGTCAGTGAGTCAACCAATCAATTATATTTTATGGGAGAAGGGGTCGCTGGCCCCCATGATCAGGAAAAGAAATCCTCTTTCATATGCAAAGAAGCTGTGTTGCCGTATCGCCCGGGTTTATTCACTGGGGGAAAGGAACGAGTCCAGATTTGTTGCCAATCTTAACTACTCTACCTATTCTTGGTCGGCGGAGACAATTATAGGTAAGGAAGTGGAGTAGACCCGAATGGATCTTCTGATTAGAGGCATGAAAGGGAGTACGGAATTAGAACATACGTGCATGTTGTAGGTTGAGATTTGAATAGCATCCAGAATAACATAACATCCCGTATGATTTTGATTCACGCGAAACGGTATATATTGAACTCGGCTCTACTGTAGCATGTAATGACAATGGGAGAAAAAACAATGACTCGCTGACCTGCACATATACATGCCATGGCCCATCACAAACGTAAACAAACGCAAAAGGTCAACGCTAAGCGCAGAAATGTCCAACACCGCGACCGACCATAAACAATGCACTCCCCAACCCTACCACTCATCGTCGTCGTCGTGTTTGCCTTGCATCGCGCTTTGTCGTGCCCGCAGTGCCTCAGCCAAACCACCTGCCAGGCTGGCATTCGATGCGCTGTTAGGCGTGCCGCGGCCGCTGGCGCCTGATGAGTCGCCGGATTGCATGCTCACAGCGCTATCCCGGGGAGCAGGCGGGGGCGCGGGTTTGCGTCCGGCCATGTTGGGTCGCTTGGCTGGGGGAGCGGGTGGGGCGGGCTTGGTCTTGGCAGCTGCAGCTGCTCCAACGCCGTTTGGAATAGGGCTGGGGGTTGCGCGGGGTGCCATGGGAGGTGGGGGTGGAACGGGCTTTGGCGCGGGAGCGACGGCTACTTCTTCGAGGTAGGATTCGGGTGTCCATCCTTGCGCGGATGTTGTTGTGTTCTTACACAGCCACCATCCTAGGACAAGTTAGTGATGATCAAAACAAAGTATGCTATGGGCACGTACCATTTCCTTCCTTGGATACAATCTCGACAATTTCGCCCTTGATAATGGAAAGTTCATTGGCCCGGTCGCTATTGTAGTCATATTTGACTTTTGCGGCGGGCTTTCTTGAGGCTGGAGGCGGTGCCGCAGGGGGAGGTGGTGGAGGAGCCCTCGCGGAGCCAGAAGACCTCACGGAGCTATAAGACTCGTTGCGAGAGTGTGCAGCGGCGGCAGCAGCCACAGGCTGAGGCACGATGCGAGGTTGTGGCACAACGCGCGGCTGGGCAGCAGGTTGCGGTACCGCGGCAGGCTGTGGGGTAGACCGGGGCAGAGGCTGAGCGGCAGGGACAGGTCGGCGAGCAGCCTGAGATAATTTCGAAGGGCCACCACCGGGGCCACCAGGACGAAGTAGCTTGCCTTTTGTAACCGGGCGAGCAGCAACTGCCTTCGCCCGTGGAGTGGGTTTGGAGACAGAGTTAGGGGGCTCACCAGCACTAGTATGAATTGTGCTGCTTTTGTAGCTGTCGACGTTTCCAGCGGCTGGATCCTTGACTGCCTTGACGGTCGCCAGCTTGCCAGGTTTCTTATGGTATTCAATGGTTTCTCCAATCTTCAAAGTGAGAGAGCCACGTAGGACAGTGGTGAGATGAGTAAAGAACTCGGTTTTGAAGATACAGTTGATTAGCGGGTCAGGTTCTTGGGCTCCGATAACCAGCGAGAACCAGTCGTCCTTGAGATTCGAGGTGCTGACACTCTTGATGGCTCCAACCGGAACGGTTCGTTCCGCTGAGATGACAAGCTGATTGTTTTCGATGCTCTGTGCAACAATATAGACATGTCGACTCGTCAGGACAAGGATCCGGGGAACAGGTTTGCTAGAACGACCAAACTTCGACACCAAAAGCTCGGCACGGCAGGAGAAAATAACATCATCTGAACCGCTGATGCCTGCACCGTTGCGGATCATTTCACCAGGACCACCGGTATTCCCGACACCGAGATAATCTCCCAGGAAGCGACGAGAACCGAGAAGACTCATTCTCCGGCGTTCCTTGCGGCCCTGGAGCACCTGGTGTCCCTGATCACGAACTTTGATGATTTCGAGTCCACCAGTCATGCGGCGCCAGAAGCGCTGGATACGGATCGCACATTCGATGCGGTAACGGAGATAATTTCTCCAGGCGCGTTGAATGCGGATGGCCATGTTGTGCCAGTATTTGTCTCGCATGGCTTCCAGTGCGAACAGTGTCTCAGGGGTCTTGACGAAGACCTTTGTGATACCCATCTGGTACTCCTCGGCAGGGATCCGGGTATCCTTCAAGATCTGCTTCGCGCCGGATTCCACATCGCCCGTCCATGTGTAGTCACCGGCATACGAAGTCTTCGGGGACAAGAGGTAGAATCGCTCGGTGAACTTGTCGAAGGTCTGACGGTAAGCAAAGCCAGCACGTCGAATGCGGACATTTTCCTGGAGACCCAGGTACTTGATCTGGTGCAGGACATTGCCGTGGTTGTACTCCTTGGGGGCTTTGTTATCGTTTGGCTTGATGGTACGGATATAAGATGGCTGCGCCTTCATGAGTGTGGCCACAAGGTCATTCGCGGAAGCCTTGATCTTGTCACCGGCAGTGGGTGGGCGGCGCTTGTCATCCTGATTGACCTGGTTGGGGAATAGCGAGTGCACGAATTCGTTGCTGCTAGACTGGGCAAGGTTCAACAGATCCTTCAACAGCTGATCCTTGTTCTTATCTGTCATTCCCTCCACGGCGTAGCTGACATCACCAGCATAGTGCTTGATAATGAACTGACCTTGGCGACCTTCGAAGTTGGGGTTCTGGGACAGGAAGTTGAGCCTACCAACGAAAGTCTGATCGGCCGCACCGGAATCAGCGTGAGCAGTTGCACAGGCATCGTTCAAAGCGGCGAAGACACCAGGGGGGCGCTTGTCCTCGATCAACGAGCACACCACCTTGTTGTCAAAGTATTCAATAGGAGTCCACTTGATCTGCTCGCGGGCATATTCATCTTGTTCTGCCTTGAGAGTCAATTGAATGAAAATCTGCTGCAGCTTTTCGTTGACATAGTTAATACACAGTTGCTCGAAAGAGTTCTTTTCGAAGATTTCGAATCCGTAAATATCCAAGATACCAATTGAATTGGTGATAGAACCACGAGCAGTCAGTGACTGGTTGACGCGCTCCACAATCCAATCGAACAGATTGAAGTAAATTGCCTTGGCCAAAGCATCCCGAACGGCGGAAGCTTGGACCCTGTTCAGCGGCACTTCGTATACGGAGCCCCTGCGTCCTCCTCGAGCAGTCTCCATCAGGCGAATAGTCAAAGCTTTGTTCACTTGAGCGGAATCCACCTCCAGCAGGTAGGCGACGAAATCAACAACTGACTGGTCGCTAATAATAGCATTGCCAGAGTCGTCTTCGCTGAATTGAACATTCCCAATCCATAGAATAGCTGCCAACATGCGGAACACATTGTCCTGCTCCGCATCGCTCATTCCAATCACCCTCATCGCATCCAGTGTATCCTTGAACTCGGCAACATCGTCGATTCCTGGCACATCGAAACACTTGGAACGGCTCGTATAGAGATAAGACTGGGGTTGTTGAAGACCGAAACTATCGCGGTACTTCTGTGGCGCACCCTTCGTGAGTTGGTAGAAGATGTGGAAATTTCGCTCATTCGTAATTTGTCCCACAACTCGCGACTTTTCCAGCAGATAATTCGTAATATTGGCTCCCACCGGCTCACCGTTGGCATTGAACTCCAATTCTAGGTACTTTCCGAATCGGGACGAGTTGTTGTTGCGCAGCGTCTTCGCATTACCGAATGACTCCAGCAACGGGTTCGTGGCCAATACCATTTCTTTGGTCTGTTGAATAGAGGAATCACCACCACCAGATACACTGGCAATGTATTGCATGATCCGCTTCGCGGCCTCGGTCTTCCCGGCACCAGACTCTCCTGAAATGATGACACACTGGTTGTCCTTGTAGGATTTCATGTTGTAGTATGCGGACTCGGCGACTCCGAATACATGGGGAGGAACTTCGAGGCGGTTCTTGCCGCGATACGAATCGAGGACATTATCTGTGTAGATACCCACTATAATAATCGCAAATCTGTTAGCAAACAGCAAACCGAATCCTCTCCGCGGAGCAACTCACAGTCTCGGAAAGGGTTGACTGAGACCAACACATGGCCAATATAAGTCTAATAGTCTTCCGTTAGCCTGTACTCATGTTCGCGCACAACCCCGCAGTCGGCATGCGAGAGCGATCCCTTACATAAATCTCGTCGTGCTCGAACCGGAGCTTCAGATTATCGTTGATGGCCTCGTTGGAGATCTTGCTGAGCAGCGTAAGATCTGACACACCGATCTCCTTCTTCTTGCTGCTCTCGAAGGCGGCCTTCCTGACCTGCGGCTTTCCCCCCGCTTGCCGGCCATCGCCAACATCTGCGACTGCTTTGGAGCGCCCAAAGCGGCTCTTCTTTTCGCCGCCAACGGGGCGTCGTGACTGACCCTATACCGCAACCACAGGGTCAGTTTGGTTCTTATCTGGTCATTGCGCAAGTAGGCCACCTACCATCTTGTGTCAACCTCTCGGGGGATCTCGCGCCCAGGCGACAAATGTGAAATCTGACCTGTCAACCGAATGGGGGAATTCTAGTGATAAGTTAAGAGACAGGAATTGAGAGTGAATAGGAAATAGTCTAGAACCAATTCTAGGTAACTGGTAAGAGGGAAGTGACTCCAGGGCGGCGGACTTACGTACAGCAAGTCAAACCGAAGCAAACAGCTGCGCCACAACAAGGTCCCTTTTTCTGGTTCCGTTGCTGCCTGAGGGGGCGAATTGGACATCAATTTACCCGGTTACTAAGAAATGATCTAATTTGATATGTTCTTATTGCTCAGTTCAATTTTTGTTCTGTGGTAATTCTTTTTCTACAAACCTTCTCGGCCAGCCACGCGTCAGGGCCTGTGGCTCGTGCGGTTAAGAATAGATGCACCGACGTCATTGGGCATATATCCCTTGGAACAAATATACTCCTGCCTAACCGCGACTTTCATTGACCTCGGCCACTGGAGATTACTTGAAGCCAGGAGTCGTTTAGACATTCTACTCTCCGTTGGGCATGAAATCTCGCTGTTCATTGTTTAATTGTAGAAGAACTGATTCTGAGAGGTTGGTGGCTAGTTATATAACTATATAACATCTGGAAGACAAGACATCTATGGCCGCAAACCTCATGCTCAATAATCTGATTTGTCATAAATAGTGGGTTTTTATGGGGTCCTGAATGAACTCATGAAGGATACTGTATATCAGTGTTTCATGGGCACAAATGGTACATTCATATAGTACGATGAAAAGCCAAATCAAGGGTAAAGATTTGAAGGTAGTGATATGATAGCGATATAAGGGGCAAACTTGTAGATGAACAAGGGATACGTTTATCCATATTGTTTAAAGTAAGACTCACAACATCAGGAGTTAACCTCTTCAGCAAGACTATGAAGAAAGAAACCGACTAAATTTATGTGGCCCCTTGAAGTAAAATGTTGGACTTGTCGGTCCCCGTGCAGCAGAACAAACATTTAATAGGAAATAGCACCAACAAAGCCGACGAAAGGATATGGAGATGTGGATTGGATGATAATCATACATGTTTGGTCAAGAAAAGGGTCCACCGCTCATCCATAGAATATTGTGCTGACTCTCCCTGGGTGTAAATCCCTGAGATCGAAGAAATTCCGTCTCGAAAAGCGACCGGTCTTCTGGAATGTATGTACCTAGAGCGTCACTTTTTGAGCTGGGCTGAAAACGAGAATTTCGAAGGCGGAAACGATGTAGGTGCAGGCGCAGGCACAGGCGATTTAGGCCACAGTGTTTTATCTCCAGAGGTGTTGACTGGAATCTAATCGTGATAAATGAGCAAATGACCAATAGAAGCCAAGCCTTGTGATGCAACTATAACCCACCGGGTTTGCGCGCGAGGCACTCTTCATGTAAGCACCTATGCAATCCAGGAGGTAGGATGCGTCAGATACAACAAGGACAGGGGGAGGTTCTGAGAAGCCTAATGAAAGGCAGTGGTGTAGTGCCCCGAGAGACTGCACTGCGTCAATCTGTTCGTTGCCCGAAGATCTCGCATCCATCAAGTACACAATAACCCCCAATGAGTTCTTGTTGGCTTCAGTAAACTTCTGGATTGCAGTTGCAGTTTGATGTCTCGTGGTTACATTCAGCCGGTTAGGGGTTAACAAAAGCACATTGAGCTTGATGGAGTGTATCTGGTGAAGGACGTCGAACGTTGACAGGGTGCGGTTCTGGTAGATAAGCTCGAAGCTGAAGTCGGCATCTCGAGCAGCCCACAGAGCTTGAAGGGGGGTTAATGTTTGTACCTTTTCCAATGGAGTGAAGGGAACCCACAACTAAAGTCTGTTTTCGGGGGCACTGGTGAAGCTAGGGGATATGGTCAGCTCCAAATGTTGTGTGAACGGATAATGGATGAGAGTGGTATACCTTCTTTCATTGTCCCAAGAGCAGTGAGGGTAGTAGACAGCCTGGCCCATTCATCGCGTTTCCGAAGTTCTGGGTTGTATTCACCCCGAAGGCCAAGCGTTGGCGGAGGCGTAGTCGTAGTCATTCCGGCCGCGGACATGAAGCTAGATTGTGAACTGTCACTATCTGTCGTTCGAGGAGCTAGCGTAGATACGGGGATAAATGGCACTGATGAATTGAGCGGGCTTGCAGCAGAGCGAGGAGAGGGAGGGTTGTCAGAAGAAAGAGATTGAGCACCCATAGCAAAGAGGGAAATAATAGAAACAAGGGATTGAAAAGAAAAGCGTTAGGTGCAAAGGACTGGTGAAAGAGAGAATAATCAAAGAGAAGAGTTGTTGCCTCTATGGACGTGATGTGTGTATGTACATTTCAGGGAAGGAGCGGGGAGAATATCAACAACTCCGCCTTGCAACCCCTACCCTCGAAAACAAAACAGCTCCTTGTAATCTTTCTAGTAGTCTGTTCAATGGGGTATCTTGATCAAATTTAAAAGCAAATGCACGCCTAACCTTATATAATAGGATATCGCTAGGTATGATACGAATATCAATCGAAATCAGCAATCACGAGCTTTTCGACGCAGATGATGGCGTCTGACTAGCCAATGCAGCAGATTGGTCCGGAGTTTCGGTTCTCGGTGCAACATTTTCTGTTGTGGGCTGGCTATTAGGCACAGACTGGGTCGGCGTCTCAGCGCCTTGACCAAAAGAAATGTACGAGGAAATGCGTGAGAGCCACCCCTGTGGGACTTCCGGCATATCCGACACTGCGGGTTGTTGATAGATCTCAGGAGACAGAATCCTCTGGGTAGACAACTTGGGCAATTCGCTGTGCTTTGCTCTTAGCTGAAGCAGCTCCTTTTCGAGTGCCACCAGAGCTTCACGTGCCGCCTGTTCGGATTGTTCCAGATCTGCCAATCTTCCCTCCACACCTTCCCGCCGTGTGCTTTCCTTATTCCGTGACCGCCACGACTCAAAAAGGATCAGGCCTCCAGCAACAAGGAAGAGGAAGGATTCGGAAATGAAGTTGGCACCGGACTCAATAGCTTTAGACTCGGAAAGGGGGCGGATACGATAGTGATGGGGCTTGGCTGCCTCTTCTGCTGCAGCCTTGGCCTTGGCCTCTGCATCCTCTGCGGCTTTCGTGTCAGCCGCGTTTCGAACAGTGGGGATTGTAGGCTTGTGTTTGCGAGCTTCGGCGGCGGCGGCGGCTTGACGTTGGGAGGCAGCAGTATCACGTATAGAGCCTAGTCGGAGACGCATATCGAATCGGTGAAGAGCTTGGGCCATAGAGACGCAGATCTTGCGAAAGCGTTCATGTTCACGGGCCTGGGCTTTGATTTGAGACTGTGTGGGTCAGCCTATAGGTTCGGCAGGGTTGAGCTCGAGATTCAAGCTTACAGCGATGGGCTTGGACAAAGTCCGGATTGCCAAGGAGGAGAGCTTCAATGTTAACGACATGGTTGGAGCATAGAGAGAGTGAGCATATGAAGCTTGAGTCACTTTCTTACCTCCGCGGTACAACCCCCCGGCGCGTGTTGATTACTCAGCACCACCTTTCGCCTAGGAAGAGGTACCAGCGACCATAGGAGGCTTACTTCCAACGTCAGTAACAATACCAGTTGCCGAAGCATCGTGGAATTTGATGTAATTACACGTTGAATATGGGATTTATACATATCAAAATATTTTGCACCACTGTTTCCCCTCCCATACTTCAAGGTGAGAGATAAATAAAAGCGTTGAACGTCACGGAAACCATGTGAGACCTACTTCTTTCTATAACTACAGAGATCAACTATATTCCACACATGTTTCATTGGAGAAAGGTTCAGCATGAGGATAGCACTCGAGCAATGGATATTATTCCATATATTGTACGGTACCAATAGTTATGTCCAAAGACGGACTATGTCCGGGCATTGATTCACTTAGGGCTAGCCTTGTTCTTGTTCCAGTAGTTAAATTGTGAAACCCACATGTGGAATTTATAACAGCTCGGAGACTTCCCGCATGTGTGTATGTTGTACAGAGTAAATATTGCACAATTCTATTGCATGTCATTCCCTTTCCGATACATATTGCTTTTCCGTTGAAATTGCGACATTCCGCAATCAACAATGAGCCAATCACCTCATGCATGTTATCTCAATTTGACCCCTTACCCTCGAGACCCGCCAACTTCAAGTTTTCGGCTGGATGTCCCTCCTTAATATATAATTCCTGTTACGCGAAAGCTTGGGTTTAACCCAGGCAGATAAGCCAAAAATTAGCCTTCCCTCATCGACCAGTCAAATGGTGTGATTAGCTTACTTGCCCCTCTAGCGTGGAAATATTTTCTGTTTGGAAGACTTCGTTTCCTGCAACGACACCATGGCAGGGGTATTCGAGGACCAAGATAGTTCTACCAAGACAGGGAGTCGGTACATTGTTCAAAATGTTCACGATGTAGAAGATCAGCACTTGACCCCACAGTCGGGTCCATCGAGCGCTGCCATCGTCGACGATGGGCAGATTGTTACCCAGTATGAACGCCAAAGTTTGATCCGGGGTCTGGGGCAACGCCATATTCAGATGATTGCCATTGCGGGCGCAATTGTATGCAAACCATTATGAAGACAGCAACTTTATAACTAACCTAATGTAGGGTACGGGTCTCTTTCTCGGTCTGGGTGGCTCGATCGCCACCGGTGGTCCTTTGGGTGCCCTGCTAGGCTATTTATTTATCGGCCTGGTAGTCTGCTGCATTCAATTTGCATTAGGAGAAGTCTCAGCCCTGCTACCAGTCACTGGTTCTTTTGTGCGACACGCAGAGATCCTGGTTGATCCTGCGCTGGCATTTGCGGTCGGCTGGAATGTTGTTTACGGATGCTTTATCAGCGTTCCGAGTGAGATCTCTGCCAGCGTGGTACTTATCCAGTACTGGACGGATATTAATGCCGCCGTCTGGGTGACTATCCTTATAGTGGTGTCTGTGGTTGTTGCCGTCTCGTTGATCAGCGTCTATGGCGAGATCGAATTCATTTTCGCCATTCTTAAGATCCTGCTGGTGATTTTCGTGGTCATTCTCGGCCTTGTCATTGATCTCGGTGGTGTGCCGGGTGTGCCCCGACGAGGTTTCCATTACTGGAAAGACCCTGGCCCGTTCGTTGAGTATATTGCTACTGGGTCTTTGGGGCGCTTCCTCGGATTCTGGGCTGTCATGACCAATGCAGTCTACTCGTTCGCAGGTGTAGAATCTTTGGCCACAGCCGCCGGTGAAACAAAAAACCCGCGACAGAATATTCCCAAGGCCTGTAAAAGGGTATTTGCGCGAGTGTCTATCTTCTACGTCGCCACTGTGCTGGTCGTGGGCATGTTGGTATCTAGCGCCGATAAACGTCTTGGAACGGACTCTGGCACTGCGGCTACGAGTCCGTTCGTCATTGCCGCCGGCGATGCAGGCATCAAGGCTATTCCTTCTGTCGTGAATGCCGTATGCTTGACCTCTGCGTGGTCTGCATCGAACCAGAGTATTCTCACGGGAACAAGAACGTTATATGGTCTTGCGGTCAAGGGCCATGCTCCGAAGATATTCCTGCGTACCACCAAGTGGGGAGTGCCGTACATGTGTGTATTGCTACAGGTTGCCTTCTCTTTCCTGGCTTACATGTGTGTTTCCAACAACGCCATGAATGTCTTCTGGTGGTTTGTCGATTTGACTGCGGCTGGCACCTTAGTCTCGTGGATTACTGTCGCTTTCAACCATATTCGCTTGTTGCAAGCGCTGGATAAACAGGGCATATCACCAACAGAGTTGCCGTGGCATAATCGCATCACCAGTATGTATCGCAAGCCCAATTTTAACATAACAGGTCTTGAGGGATTCCAATACTGACATTACCAAGGATACACAAGCTGGTTCGCGTTGGTCTCTTGTGTCGTCATTCTCCTTACTGGAGGATTCGCAGTCTTCACCGCTGGAAATTGGGACCCTGCCTCATTTGTCTCATCGTATCTGTGGGTCTTCATCTTTGCAACATTAAATCCAATCTCCTAACCTTGACACCAGGGATATTCCACTTGTTCTCTTGGCGTACGGAGGCTATAAGTTGATCCGCCGGACAGAGATTATTCCTCTGAATCTGGTGCCCGTTCAACAAGCGATAGACGAAGCCAACAATGATCCGGAGAATGTGCCGATCAAGAAAGACAGCATATGGGCAAAGATGAATATTCTTTGGGGCTGATATGCATCCTACCAATATCTAGGAGACGGCCTATTTTTTGTTCAAGAGGTTTTGTGGCTAGAGGCAGGATAATGAGATGTGATAGATCTTCAGCTAGTCTACTATATATAATTAACATAATAATGACATCCATGGAATTCCTTTTGCTCTCGCAGTTCCATGCAGTGTCAGGTTGCTTTCATTGGGGTCTTACATGTCAGGCCTTGTTTGCTAGTTAGTTACTTACATGTTGGTAGAATGTATATATACTCTGCCAGAAATCTATTTTGGTTTCTCTCCTGCTCTTTTCCGCCCCATCAAGTTTTATCATTCATATCTACAACCTATCGCCATGGTTCAGGGTCAGGGTACCTACGTGCTATCACATGAGGATCTGAAGGAAGCATGCGGTCTTTATACATGAATCAGTCAAGGCACAGGTAGACTGTGTAGCTAGATAGGCTAACTTCTCGAGCATGCACTACACTTGCCTTTTTTTTTTTCTTTGGGTGTCTTCAACCCCTCCTACTGCACTTTACATTCAATTTCTTTCCTCCTCTCCCCCCCCCCCCCCCCCCCCAGCGCATCCATCAAGTGAATACGTGACTACATATATGAAATGGGACAACACCCTGGGTATCACGGTCAGCTGAACTGCGGTGTGCCAGAAGTTAAATCGAAGTGAGATCGACTTAGTATTAGTTTGGAATTATGACATGGATGTGGTCCTACCTGGGTGAGGATATGAAGGCTCTTATGGGAACCTACCCCGAGGAACAGTACTTGAGAGATGATTTACACAGCCATTTGGGCTTACAATGTTCTCGAACATATTTCACGACCGGAGCGCATAGGTCATATTTACATATACTTACAAACACAAACATATCGATTAATGTTTATAAATGGCACGATTATATCGCTCAGGTGAGTTCAATTTGCTCTAGCTTTTTGACTATCTGTACTAGCTAGTATTTCTTTATTAGGGGATTGATATAGACAACGCCCGAAAAATAGCGGGGGGCCATGGCCGTGACAGTGCTCGTGGTGTTGGCGTATGTACCTATCCTTGACATGGGTATCACAAAACATCCAGCTATATCTCATTTCGCCCTGAAGCTTCTGTGCTTGGAGCCGTTTGTACCTCTGGTCTTGGAACTTGGGTGCGTTTAGCTTCGCGAGCTAATTGATTATAACAGGAAGAAACTCGATCTTCCCACTTCTACAAGCAATGCGGCCATTTAGCTGTGGGTTCATCCAATCATTCGACAACGATCTACACCTTGGGTCGTCCAATTATAATCATCAACGGGATCTAGGTCTACAGAAGATCAGATCAACCAACATCAATATCATCTGATACCAGAAAAACTATCGGATACGACGTACAAATTGAGAGACGAAGATGGTAACCAACGACAGTGGTGTCACCACAACCCCATTGTACGGAACCGGAGCTCCAGATGACGATGATTAGGATGCAGTAGAAACATCCCAGAGGGATGCACTGGATCAAGCATACCAACTACCGGACCCCGAACACATTACACTTTACAAGATCACGCCGCGGCTAACCTCCCGTGGCGGTTTTGACGCATGGGAAGCGATGGTTAGTAAACAATTGCGGGGATTAAAACTACGTACACAACTTGATCGACGATAAGATCGAACGACCTCGCCGAAATGCAGAAAATGCCGGACGAGGGGTCGACCTCTCGGAGAGAGTATGCATAACTCTCAGGCCGGGCAATTCTAAAACGCCCCTAAGATTGACTAGACGAACTGCCTGAGGACTGGTTTCCCTAATACCTTGATAAACCCGATCCTACGTTCTACCAAGTTCAGCACCGAGGGGATGTACCTCCACTACATCCAATGTGTTGCCATTGATAGTACGAAGGTCCTTGCATATGAGCGTCCGTTCTGTAAGCCCGGCCCTAGGACTACCTGTCAGTGACGTGCTACTGGGAAGCTCGCCTGCTCCCACGCACAAGCCTCCACCCACTATGACGAGTGATATGATACCTGCTCGTTCATTGCACGGAGTGCTAGCATGGAAGAAGTGGCTCTACGGTGCCAGAAATGCTAAAATACCAGGTAATTATGGAATTGTCAGTTCAAATACGAAGGGGAAATGGATTGTGCCGCGGAATACGCGAAGGCCAAAAGTATGGATTTCCCTCGTCGCCATCTGATATCTTTATGCTAAGAATATCGCTACTCCTCAGACTAAGGGAGCGTATTAGCTCCTAA